AAAGTGTATAGTTCTTCTAGTCGTTGCTTGTCATTAAATCAATTTATTTTTTCCTAGTTAAAAGGAATTTTTCGAAAAAAGGGGTAATTGTGGCTATCGGCGCGCTACGTAAGCGTGACCTGTTAATTTCTCGACGCAAGAAGTCACGCTTCATTTTCTTCGACGCTACTCATCAGCGTGCTATTTGACATGAAGGTTAAGCGTTAATAGTTGTGTCAGCAGATACTCTATTCTCCTCAGAGGCTCCCGCTGGGTATCCCAAAAAAACTAGCAATAATAAAAAAAAATACAAAGCGCGCGGGGGACGATGAGACGTGGGAAGAGCCTCACTTCCTCTCTTTCCCCTTCCCATCGTCCACCGTGCGCTTTCATTTTTTCCTCTCCCCAGCCTCCTTGCGAGACAAAGAGGCCTCAGCGGAGGGGAGAGCATCAGGTAAATAACCGTAACCTTATACGTCGAACGTTTTTTCCTTGATGAAAGAAATCACGCTCTATTTTCTTCGCGCGTGCACTCTCCTCATTGTAAACTCTGAAGAAAAGAGACTGCTCACAGTCTAGTTACAACGTGAAGAAGGGTAGAAAATAGTAGCGTTACAAGAATACAAGCAACAGGGCAGGGCCTACATCTCATGATCGTTCGGAGCTTGACGTCGGAATGTTTGTCAAAGGTGCCTGCCGCGCATTTTATAGTTCAAAGCGATCCCATACTAAGGGTGTTAACCTTTGTTAGTGGATTTCTTAGGTAGGGCAAAGATGGGACACCCAGCTGGTCATGTATAAAGTAAAAATGATTGGAAAAATCAAAAGGAAAAGGTTCTCACGGGGGTTTGCCCAAAAAAAAAATCATCGAAAAAGAAAAGGTGAAACTGGTCGAATTCGTTAACTTGGAAAGTTAGGGTTGTGAAGCTGTCACTGACCGGAAACGTATGCTTGCTTACTATTGACTGTATCTTAACCAGCTTTTAAACTGAAGCGAAGGTTTTAAAGGCGTTACAAGCATATCTGTTATCAATAAATAAAGACAGAGAATCTGGCTTGATCATATCCTACGATTCCATGGAGATCTTCTCTAGCTGCTGGTTATTGAGGGGGGGGATGGAGGGGAAGAGGAAGGAATGTTGGACGGAGTGAAGGACGGCGGCCCCTACGTAATAGTTAAGATCCGCGCCAAAAAGGAAAACTTTGCGGAAGGACGTGCATGTAAGGCAGAACACACACAATCAGAGCGCTGGATTATGAGTTGATTGGTTAGTTTTCTGAACGTTCCCACAAAATTCCGGGACCTGCGTTTTCATATTGGTTCCTTTCTACTGGAATGTTGAGTTGCTTTCAAATTGTAAAATTATGACAAAATTATGCTATTTTTCCACAAAATGTTACGTCAACTAAGTTAACGGATTTAAATTGTTTATTCCCCATTTTATTTAACCACAGATTAAGATACACTTTGCATTTTATTTTAGGCACCTTATTGTATTTTACCGTGAAATATCATTGTCATTATTCATTTCTCGTTAATGTATCCAGTCAACAATACAAGTGGATTCTAAGCATTTGGGTCCACATTTAAGTTCATGCCATGTTTGTCACAGCATCGAAACACCCCTTGGTCACACCCACCAGCACAGTAATTTACAAACCATTTGTTGTTTCTTCTTTGAATGCTTATTTTATGTTGGTGACCAGCTCCAGTTGTGGTGATAAGATTCTTGATAGGTTTTCCTTTCATAGCAAGCTCCACCTGCTCTGGTGTCAAAGTGACTTCATGAATATGCGGTCCTGGGGGTGTTTTCTGCGCCGACATCATCCTCAAAGTCAAGGATCTCTTCGCAGGTTCCGTTGGGGAAACACCGGTTTTTCCTGCAAGTGGTTCCCTGTAGATGTAGTTATAGGTGTTGGATTTCATCAGGATATCTTTAGTTGCCTCAAGTTCCTTCCAAACAGCGCTTCCCTCTCCATGAACTGGCATTATGGGATATCGCTGTCGACAGATCCCTACGCCATTAATGGGTGGAAGAAAGATGCGTGTTCCGCTGGCTCGAGTGATCCTAACGTCAATTCCATTCCGATCCAAAACTCCAACGCTATTCTTTGTGGTGTCTGCAGCGTCGCTGCTAACTTCCTTTCCTGAAAAGAAGGCGGATGGTGTTAGATAGTACTTCTTACTATTGGTGCCATTGTAAGCCTTGTCTGGAGTTCTTCCTCCAAAGCGACCACCAAGATACACGGTCTTTCCTTTCGGCGTCCTCTCGTCACCTTTATATTCAAGGTTAAATGGGTTCCATCTGTTTAGTGGTGTCATGTAGATTATTTCAAGTGGAATGGCGTACGAAAACTTTTGGTTGACCGTCTTACATTTCGGCCTCTTTTTGGGCCCCTTGCAGGTCTTGAGCGTCATACCAGCCACTTTAGGTTGGGTAGTCATGGCCATGAAGAGGTTTTCATCGGCATAGCCACGACGCCTAAAGGATTGGCCCATTGCGTCTTTCTCCAGGACTTTAAACCAGCGATGGTAGTAACCGGCATTTATTTTTCCGCTCTTCTTTGGGTCAATGGTGTGAGCTGGCAGGTCAAATGCCTCATCTGTTAGCTTAGCTTGATAGTTGTCTTTTCCAGGAATTTCACTCATAAGCTCATCAAGCAGTGTATACCTCGGATTGTTGTATCTTTCGGTCCACGTGTCCGAGTCTCGAGGGTTGATTTGGAATCTTGCTGCACGGAAGTTTTTTTGTTCGTCGTATTTTCTTCGTGCAGGAAGCCTGGCATGGAAATCGTCAACCACACGAAACCTGTTTAAGGGGATATCGCGACTCACTGGGTGGCACAAAATGCGGTAATTCCATTGAGCAAAGACAGGGATCGTTTCGTTGATAATGTCGATAATGGTGGTTGGAAGGAAGGAAAAGTTTTCAAGATTGTCTTTTCTGCCAGTGTAAGAAGTAAAGCGGACTTTTTCGCTGTGTAACTTAACTTTAGCAGGGAAATTATTTCCACTGACAAAATCGAAGCTATAAGACATATATGTCCCTCTAGCATCGTTAGTGGGATTCCGGATTCCTTGAGCTGTATTCCGGATTCCAAAGCCAAGAATTCCGGATTCTACAGCAAAACTTTGCTGGATTCCGAATCCCACAAGGGAAAATCTCACAGATTCCGTAATTTGAATCCCCTTACAAAGGCCAAACTCTTAGTCTTCTTCGATTCCCCTTATACGCTTTTGCTGGGCTTACTAGTCCTCCAGAAAACGTCGGGGATCTTTAAATTGGGTAGTGAGGCGGGATCTTTATTCGAATTTTCCAGTCGAAGTTACATTATTGTGTTTATTGTGTTAACAGTTTCTATAGAAACTGAAGCACTATGCAATCATGTCGTGTCCGTAATATCCGCAAGTAAGAAAAGCGATAATTCTGAAGGCAGCAAATGCAAAATACAGTATGAATCAGTTCGTAAACAAGGAAAGTGTATAGTTCTCTAGTCGTTGCTTGTCATTAAATCAATTTATTTTTTCCTAGTTAAAAGGAATTTTTCGAAAAAAGGGGTAATTGTGGCTATCGGCGCGCTACATAAGCGTGACCTGTTAATTTCTCGACGTAAGAAGGCACGCTTCATTTTCTTCGACGCTACTCATCAGCGTGCTATTTGACATGAAGGTTAAGCGTTAATAGTTGTGTCAGCAGATACTCTATTCTCCTCAGAGGCTCCCGCTGGGTATCCCCAAAAAAGTAGCAATAATAAAAAAAATACAAAGCGCGCGGGGGACGATGGGACAGGGGAAGAGCCTCGCTTCCTCTCTTTCCCCTTCCCATCGTCCACCGTGCGCTTTCATTTTTTCCTCTCCCCAGCCTCCTTGCGAGACAAAGAGGCCTCAGCGGAGGGGAGAGCATCAGGTACATAACCGTAACCTTATACGTCGAACGTTTTTTCCTTGATGAAAGAAATCACGCTCTATTTTCTTCGCGCGTGCACTCTCCTCATTGTAAACTCTGAAGAAAAGAGACTGCTCACAGTCTAGTTACAACGTGAAGAAGGGTAGAAAATAGTAGCGTTACAAGAATACAAGCAACAGGGCAGGGCCTACATCTCATGATCGTTCGGAGCTTGACGTCGGAATGTTTGTCAAAGGTGCCTGCCGCGCATTTTATAGTTCAAAGCGATCCCATACTAAGGGTGTTAACCTTTGTTAGTGGATTTCTTAGGTAGGGCAAAGATGGGACACCCAGCTGGTCATGTATAAAGTAAAAATGATTGGAAAAATCAAAAGGAAAAGGTTCTCACGGGGGTTTGCCCAAAAAAAATATCATCGAAAAAGAAAAGGTGAAACTGGTCGAATTCGTTAACTTGGAAAGTTAGAGTTGTGAAGCTGTCACTGACCAGAAACGTATGCTTGCTTACTATTGACTGTATCTTAACCAGCTTTTAAACTGAAGCGAAGGTTTTAAAGGCGTTACAAGCATATCTGTTATCAATAAATAAAGACAGAGAATCTGGCTTGATCATATCCTACGATTCCATGGAGATCTTCTCTAGCTGCTGGTTATTGAGGGGGGGGGTGGAGGGGAAGAGGAAGGAATGTTGGACGGAGTGAAGGACGGCGGCCCCTACGTAATAGTTAAGATCCGCGCCAAAAAGGAAAACTTTGCGGAAGGACGTGCATGTAAGGCAGAACACACACAATCAGAGCGCTGGATTATGAGTTGATTGGTTAGTTTTCTGAACGTTCCCACAAAATTCCGGGACCTGCGTTTTCATATTGGTTCCTTTCTACTGGAATGTTGAGTTGCTTTCAAATTGTAAAATTATGACAAAATTATGCTATTTTTCCACAAAATGTTACGTCAACTAAGTTAACGGATTTAAATTGTTTATTCCCCATTTTATTTAACCACAGATTAAGATACACTTTGCATTTTATTTTAGGCACCTTATTGTATTTTACCGTGAAATATCATTGTCATTATTCATTTCTCGTTAATGTATCCAGTCAACAATACAAGTGGATTCTAAGCATTTGGGTCCACATTTAAGTTCATGCCATGTTTGTCACAGCATCGAAACACCCCTTGGTCACACCCACCAGCACAGTAATTTACAAACCATTTGTTGTTTCTTCTTTGAATGCTTATTTTATGTTGGTGACCAGCTCCAGTTGTGGTGATAAGATTCTTGATAGGTTTTCCTTTCATAGCAAGCTCCACCTGCTCTGGTGTCAAAGTGACTTCATGAATATGCGGTCCTGGGGGTGTTTTCTGCGCCGACACCATCCTCAAAGTCAAGGATCTCTTCGCAGGTTCCGTTGGGGAAACACCGGTTTTTCCTGCAAGTGGTTCCCTGTAGATGTAGTTATAGGTGTTGGATTTCATCAGGATATCTTTAGTTGCCTCAAGTTCCTTCCAAACAGCGCTTCCCTCTCCATGAACTGGCATTATGGGATATCGCTGTCGACAGATCCCTACGCCATTAATGGGTGGAAGAAAGATTCGTGTTCCGCTGGCTCGAGTGATCCTAACGTCAATTCCATTCCGATCCAAAACTCCAACGCTATTCTTTGTGGTGTCTGCAGCGTCGCTGCTAACTTCCTTCCCTGAAAAGAAGGCCGATGGAGTTAGATAGTACTTCTTACTATTGGTGCCATTGTAAGCCTTGTCCGGAGTTCTTCCTCCATAGCGACCACCAAGCCACACGGTCTTTCCGTACGGCGTCCTCTCGTCACCTTTATATTCAAGGTTAAATGGGTTCCATCTGTTTAGTGGTGTCATGTAGATTATTTCAAGTGGAATGGCGTACGAAAACTTTTGGTTGACCGTCTTACATCTCGGCCGCTTTTTGGGCCCCTTGCAGGTCTTGAGCGTCATACCAGCCACTTTAGGTTGGGTAGTCATGGCCATGAACAGGTTTTCATCGGCATAGCCACGACGCCTAAAGGATTGGCCCATTGCGTCTTTCTCCAAGACTTTAAACCAGCGATGGTAGTAACCGGCATTTATTTTTCCGCTCTTCTTTGGGTCAATGGTGTGAGCTGGCAGGTCAAATGCCTCATCTGTTAGATTAGCTTGATAGTTGTCTTTTCCAGGAATTTCGCTCATAAGCTCATCAAGCAGTGTATACCTCGGATTGTTGTATCTTTCGGTCCACGTGTCCGAGTCTCGAGGGTTGATTTGGAATCTTGCTGCACGGAAGTTTTTTTGTTCGTCGTATTTTCTTCGCGCAGGAAGCCTGGCATGGAAATCGTCAACCACACGAAACCTGTTTAAGGGGATATCGCGACTCACTGGGTGACACAAAATGCGGTAATTCCATTGAGCAAAGACAGGGATCGTTTCGTTGATAATGTCGATAATGGTGGTTGGAAGGAAGGAAAAGTTTTCAAGATTGTCTTTTCTGCCAGTGTAAGAAGTAAAGCGGACTTTTTCCTGTAAGTCGAACCATGTTTGGGCGTCAATAAAATGTCTGTCACTTTCAAACGGTTCATCGATGTCTTTTGTTGCTGTGGTCCATGCGCCTTCTAGAAAGCACAGTACAGGCTTGAAATACTTCCTGTAATCTCTAATAGTGTGATTTTGTAACTTCCATGCCTTGAACCACTCACGCATCTCCACGATTTGTTCGTCCACGGTAGCTTTATTTTTCACCTCTGGTGGCACTTCTGGAAATGGAATCGGCTCCGTTGCATGGTATTCTTTGCTGGATTTGCTTGCCATGTAGAGTCGGTAGTCGTTGTGTCTTGTCCTAAATTCTACTCCATTAAGGACGCCAATGAACTCCCCCAGGCCCACCGTGCGGATGTTGTTTGCGTGTTCATGAATAGACATAAGTCTTCCAGAGTTGCCATGAGTATCTGAAAAGTAGTTGCGTGTTCCACTGTTACTGAGGCGCACTTGCTTTACACCAGAATCACCATCAGATCTGATGCGTTCTTCAACAAACATCTGCTGCAGCATGACTTGTCGAGACAGGGCCCCCACGATCTGACGAAAGGCCTCCAGTTCTGCCGTTAGTTTCTCGTCAGCGTTCGCAGATGCAGTTGTTACTCCTCCCAAGAATTCACCATCGCTCGTAACCGTTGTAAGTAGTTTGACGAAGATTAGCATTTGCAGCGAAAACGCCATATCTGTTTAGGCAAGAAATCAAACATAAAGAAGCTTACTGTATCAAGAGGGAACGAATGTTCAGTTGGTCAATCGAAGAAACTCAGTCGAAGAAAGTACAGTTTCTGAAAATTGATAGTCCTTCTTACTTGCAGCGTTAATTGTTGTTATCTTGCTAGCTTAACTTTTACTGCTAGTATTTTATTTTTTCTTTGCTCCGAGTATAGGGTTCTAGCATAAATGTGGAAGCAGTGGATGAGTAAAACGTTCATCCAGGGGCACCCCGCTGAACGAGAATATAGTTCAAAACCACTTAAACAAAGCATTGTTAAACGTATTTTAGCATTTAAACGGTAGATATATAGGCATATTTTTGTCCCCTAAAAATTTTTCATCTGTTCGGATTTCCTAGCTGAAAGTCCAGTGATCCGAAAATTATAGGGATCAAAACTTACCTTTTCGAAAATTTAAGCCAGAAAAAAGGCTCCCGAAAATTCTAGGTGACCTTTTAAGCGTAAAAATCCGATAAAAATTTAGCCTGAAATTCATCCGATTGCTTCGAGTCGTTTTCTTCTCTCAAAGTAATCGGATGAAATTCAGGCTATTAAAAATGGTCAATTACAATTACAATTACAATTACAATTACAATTACAATTACAATTACAACTACAATTACAATTTTTAGATGTTCGAAAATCCTAGGAGAGGCAGGCAAGCAAGAAATTTTACAACAAATGTTCCGAAAATTCTCGATCTTAAATGGTCTTCCGAACAGATATTTTTCGAAAATTGACGTTGGGTGCCCCTGGTTAATCTTGTAGACTTGAAAATGGAACAACAAAGAGAAAACTTATGGAAAATAAAATCCATAGCTACCTGCTACAATCCCTTTGCAAAACCCACTTGAAGAAAAAAAACGGAGGGTCAGAGGTTTTTCCTGTTACATCAATATAGAGCAAGAAAAAAAAATTCAATTTTGAAAGGTTCCTTGGTTTAAACATTATACCGTTTACTAATTAATGTACTTGTTTTGACAAACACATTAACATCGTACCCTTGAAATAGGACTGAAAGCCTGTGTGTTTCTTGATTAATGTTTATTTTTAATCACAGTAACACAAATTCAGTATGCCTCGTAAGGTCAGAGTTTCCAGGGGAAAATAACATCTGGCTGTGATAAGAAAATATGTCATTGTTCTTTCTTTCAACTTTCCTTTTATGCAGGCTTTAAATTTTGGAGTTAGTGTTTGACTTACTTATCACTAGCCAATCTTCATTTTAGTTTTTCTTATGTTTACCTTATCTGTTTACGGACCCTATTCTTACCATTATCGAAAGATTTGTGTTTTTCCCCTATGTTTTTAGAATGCAACCTATTGCCTGTGTTGAATTGTCTGTAAATGTACTGTTTACCACTAAACGGCTTCATCGAAGAAACAGATGACATCGACTTGCTGACAATATCGTGTGACTCCCTTAGTACCCTCATAGGTATTTACTGAAAATCCCTTTATTGCCGGTATAACTGTGCGATGACCATGGCCAGCTAAAAGTCTTGCTCTCAAAATCGCTCTTTGACCTGTTTTATAAGTTGCCACATGCCTAAAAAGTGGCCCGTCAATGGCGTTAATTAGATTCCCATTGTCGTTCGGTGAGAATAATGCTCTTTAAACAAATAAAGCGTAAGGAAGGCCCTCGCAGTTATAAACGCAACCTTAACAGTTCCGAAAAGAAAGCCTTTAAAATTCAGGCTGGCTTGTGCTTGTATGGGACTAAGACCCTCGATACCAGTGCAGCGCTCCTATGCGCTCGCAGGGGTCAAGGCTTTGAATCCCGTAGGGTCCACTTTCAAAATCAGCGCGGCGCATCTACGTTATTCTATTTTGCGAAACGAAACGAAACGAAACGAAATATATGGGAGAGGGAGAAAAAATGCTTATTAACCTAAACACAGCTTAAGACAACATTGACAATGTGTTTGGAAGTAATAGTTAACGAAAAATGACGGATTTTACCTTTTTCGCAAAGTAGTAATTTTTCCAGAATTACTATTTTACGAAATGGCGTTTTTTCACCTTTATTTAGCAAATATGTCCTTTTCGTCTGAAACAAATTGTGTCCGCCAATTAGATGATTAATATTTCGAAGAGCCTGGTGACTTCTCATTTTATTAGCCGTACCAGAACTCATTTCGCAAAGTAGTAATTTTTCCAGAATTACTACTTTGCGAAATGGCGTTTTTTCACCTTTATTTAGCAAATATGTCCTTTTCGTCTGAAACAAATTGTGTCCGCCAATAAAATGATTAATATTTCGAAGAGCCTGGTGACTTCTCATTTTATTAGCCGTACTAGAACTCATTTCGCAAAGTAGTAATTTTTCCAGAATTACTACTTTGCGAAATGGCGTTTTTTCACCTTTATTTAGCAAATATGTTCTTTTCGTCTGAAACAAATTGTGTCCGCCAATAAAATGATTAATATTTCGAAGAGCCTGGTGACTTCTCATTTTATTAGCCGTACTAGAACTCATTTCGCAAAGTAGTAATTTTTCCAGAATTACTACTTTGCGAAATGGCGTTTTTTCACCTTTATTTAGCAAATATGTCCTTTTCGTCTGAAACAAATTGTGTCCGCCAATAAAATGATTAATATTTCGAAGAGCCTGGTGACTTCTCATTTTATTAGCCGTACTAGAACTCATTTCGCAAAGTAGTAATTTTTCCAGAATTACTACTTTGCGAAATGGCGTTTTTTCACCTTTATTTAGCAAATATGTCCTTTTCGTCTGAAACAAATTGTGTCCGCCAATAAAATGATTAATATTTCGAAGAGCCTGGTGACTTCTCATTTTATTAGCCGTACTAGAACTCATTTCGCAAAGTAGTAATTTTTCCAGAATTACTACTTTGCGAAATGGCGTTTTTTCACCTTTATTTAGCAAATATGCCCTTTTCGTCTGAAACAAATTGTGTCCGCCAATAAAATGATTAATATTTCGAAGAGCCTGGTGACTTCTCATTTTATTAGCCGTACTAGAACTCATTTCGCAAAGTAGTAATTTTTCCAGAATTACTACTTTGCGAAATGGCGTTTTTTCACCTTTATTTAGCAAATATGTCCTTTTCGTCTGAAACAAATTGTGTCCGCCAATAAAATGATTAATATTTCGAAGAGCCTGGTGACTTCTCATTTTATTAGCCGTACTAGAACTCATTTCGCAAAGTAGTAATTTTTCCAGAATTACTACTTTGCGAAATGGCGTTTTTTCACCTTTATTTAGCAAATATGTTCTTCTCGACCGTAACAAATTGTGTCCACCAATAAAATGATTAATATTTCAAAGAGCCTGGGCACCTCTCATTTTACTGGCTGTACTAGAACTCATTTCGCAAAGTGGTAATTTTGCCAAAATTTAATATTTTGCGAAAAGAGCTGTTTGTCGTCCTTTAAATTTGTTTTCTTGCCATATAAATAAGTGTAAACATGAAACTACTGATCAATTCCTGAAGACTCTGGAGACTTCTCATTTTATTTTTAGAACTCATTATTAAGTGCACACAGCAAAATCCACCAATCACAGAAGTTATCCCAAGAACCATAGCAGCAAGCATAACCCTAGTAAACTGGGGATTCTCCAAAATGGACGAATTTGTGACATTAGACTGTGTCTCTCAGAGACAAATTGGGGAAAGTTTCCCTAATTTTGGATAACTGGTATTAAAAGCTCTTTCACCAAAAAACTGAATGCATTTATTTTCTCGGGAATCGCAATGGTTAGGATTAATTGGTACCAGGTCTTTGTGTCGTCCATTTTGGTAAACACTCGTATGATTACAGACCGAGTTGGACTCTACTCAGTCCTATTACCGTTATTAAAAAGTCGTATTTAAAAGTCATTTCAAAATGTTGTAATTTTTCAAGAAATTATTACTACTTTGCGAAGCTAGCAATTTTCACCTTTGCCGAAACAGGGCATTCGTTTTCGTATGATCATAAATTGATCAAAAATAAAACAATGTACATTTGTGCATCTATGCTATAACCCCAAACCAAATTAATGCTAACGACTTACTGAAATTTACAAAGTTTTTAAGTCGTTCCATTAAAAACTAATATATCACATTATCAAAAAGGATCAAAAGAAATTTCTGATTTGCTAAAGATTAAAATAATGGTTCTCAATTCCCCGTTCTCAGTAATTTGATTAAAGTATTCCAAAAAGTTAACCAAACTCAACTAACTAATTTTGGATGTATTATGGGATACGTATAGTAGGATGTTATTTTTATCAAACCAGTTACTTTTTTTGAGATAGATTATTCCCTTGATCCTATCAGCAGCATTTACTATTGCGATAATCATCTTATTATGTGCGCCATTTTCGTTTACGGCACGGTACTGAAATAAATCATGAAAAGAAAATAAATAACCTGGAAAATACAAATATGCGTGCCTCACCTCACCAACAAATATCATCAGCTAATATGAAACTCATTTTTGTTGCGTTGTTGTTGTGAAAATTTACTGGGAATAAGGAGCAGGGCGTAATGAGGAGCCTATGAAGCTATAGAGCGTCCATCTCGTAATCGGTAATAGGCCCAATGTCATTGCAACTTTGATTTTTAGGCCATCTATAATCCGCGCGGCAAAACCTATAGGAGACGGCCTTTCACATTGTTGAAAATTTATTTGAGCAAAACTTTAATAGAGAGGCGAATGGATACAGGAGAAATGTTGTGGATCAGACATGCAAAGAAAGCTCACTACCACGATCAGCAAGCAGTCAGGGGCGTAGCCAACTTTTCAACTAGTTGTAGGCCTGGCTGACTTTCATTTGACATACATATCCTGAAAATTGCACGCACTGCTAGTACGCACCCACCTCACCAACAGACTTAAGTTTTTTAGTTCACTCCAACAACGCATAATTTATTACAAGCGGTAGAATGATCAAACCAAAAAGTTTTAGGCTTGGGCCTACAGATCTCAGCATGGGCCGGCTATGCCCCTAACAATTTCGTTAAGAATGAGACTTCAGAGGCGCGGTAACTGAAAAAATGTTGCACAATAACATCAAGCTGTACAAGATGGACACTCGCAATTGGTTTTTCTATCGTTCATAGGCGGCATCATATTAGTAGCAATCAGGGCTTTTGAGATCTTACTCTTCCTTTAGTTGAGTTAGCTTTGTGCATTATTCTCTTCTCATCTAAACTTTAGCATTGCATATAGAAGATCCTTGTGACTCTCTTTCAAGCGCCCCTGGACATTGGTAGAGACAGTTGCCAAACCTCTCCAGAAATAAGGGTGCCTTGGAAGAATACACTCTTTATCTACGCAGTAAAACCTCTTTGCCTTCTCTTTATGAGTTGGTACCATTTCAACATTCGTTTGCTTGATAACTGGAATTTTTAAAAATGCCATAATCCTGATAGATTATAAAAACCTCGAGCACAGAGAAACTTTTCTCGACACGTGTACACCAAGAAAACTTACGCAAATGCAAGTTACTCAATTTCTGGAATTGACACGTCACGTGAATTATGACTGACTAGCACTTGTCACGCTGTTAAACTAAATTGAAACTACAAAAGTCAGGAATTCCAGTTATATCACACGAATGCCAAGGTGTATCGGAGTTTTCTGGAAAATTTAATTTATTCAAATGAATTATTCCTTTTCACGTTGCATGGTTCGAGCTTTTGTTGCTTGTACATTTTTCGCAAGTATAACAAAAACAAGCTATTAAAGCGTGAGTAACTGGAACCCAGACATGAGTGTTAGAGTCGTCCTAGAGGCGTGATCTTGGCAGGTATCCAGGGAGGGTACCCCCACGAATGGCCTAGATATGTGAAAGGGGTACCTTTACCATCAAAAATGGTACAGCAAAGGTTAAGGGGTCGGAACTCGAGGCGGAGTCTCCACGTATAAAACTTTGTCGAGTACCTCCTACCGGGCAGGTATTCTAATAAAAGTGACAGGAAACGGATTATGCCATTACCGTAGCCGCGGCACGGCCTTCATTCACACGTTGGTTCGAATTTATTTGACTCTATACACCTCTTTTGAAAATGATGTGTTGCCTGCAAGGCGTGGACAGTCGTGGAATGGAAGTTAGATTTAGTCTTATGCATGGTTAAATTTGAGCTATTACCATACCACCTCCCCCCACCCCCTTCCGCCTGGGCAATTACAATGGTTTTTTTTTTTTCTTTTCTGGAGGTCTCTTTTTAAACTCTGGGCATGGAGAAGGAGGCAATTTCCCACCACCGAGCTCCTGATTGACCTGATATTGGTAGCATCTTTTTTAGAGCAATAAGTAATTCCGAACAATGGCAAAACAAGATGTCTTGCGAACTTTTATAAACGTTTTTCTATGGTTCATTGACAGTAGGATAACACATGTAAACATAAAACATGAACAATACATTTGAAATGGCTAAAAAGAAAGAAAAAACTCTCAAGCACCTCTTTGATAGAACACTCCATGAGAACAATGGACTGAATCTCTGTTTCTTTGTTTGTTTGTGTTTTTTTTTATCGAAATATATATATACATTAGTGTGGTCCTATAATTTGGACCATACGAAACAGCACTGTCGCAATAAACGATCGATGATTACTCCTAAAGCCTGAGCTCCTGTGAAGTTGTTAATAGTCAAATGAATGCTCTTGAAATAAATTGAGCGTTCTACGAAATACATTCTACCCAGAATACAAGTATTTGTTTCTTTTGCAATAAAAAAGGAACAAAGGAATGCATTCGAGTACGCACCATACACACATCCGTGTTAAATTTTAAAGCATACCTTCAAATACAGACTTAAATGCCGACAAATTCCCGCGTTCTCCCATAAAAATACGAAGTCTTGAGTTCAGAACTTTTCAGGAATTGATGTTTACGCAATGAGCACATTAGATCATATTTAAGTGCTATTTTGCGCCTTACAAATAATAAATTGTTATTATTGTTAATTGTTATTATCATTACATTATTACACATATTTTTATGGCACAAAGACAACTTCACTGCATCACAAAAGAGCCTAGATAATTCATTTCGCAAAATAGTAATTCTGGCAAAATTACTACTTTGCGAAATGAGTTCTAGTACGGTCAGTAAAATGACAGGTGCCCAGACTCTGCGAAATATTAATCATTTTATTGGTGGACACAATTTGTTTCAGACGAAAAGGATATATTTGCTAAATAAATGTGAAAAAACGCCATTTCGTAAAATAGTAATTCTGGCAAAATTACTACTTTGCGAAATGTGTTCTAGTACGGCTAATAAAATGAGAAGTCACCAGACTCTTCGAAATATTAATCATTTTTATTGGTGGACACAATTTGTTTCAGACGAAAAGGACATATTTGCTAAATAAAGGTGAAAAAACGCCATTTCGCAAAATAGTAATTGTATTGAAATTACTACTTTGCGAAAAAGGTAAAAATCCGTCATTTTTCGTTAACTATTACTTCCGAAAACATTGTCAATGTTGTCTTAAGCTGTGTTTAGTTTTTTTCTCCCTCTCCCATATATTTCGTTTCGTTTCGTTTCGCAAAATAGAATAAGCCTCTACGTTACAAAACCGTGAAATCACCGTCCTCATGTGTGAGCTGAAGTTCAATCCCATATTGTTTTCGTGCCGGGGCAAAACTAGAGACCTACAGTAGCTTCAGTCAATAGCAGAAACAAAAACCTACTGACATACATTCGAACCTCCCGTAAGCGACCACGGAAAATGCAAAGACTGAGTGGTCGCTTACAAGAATCGAACCAGAGGGGGTCTCTTCCGAGTAGAGGTTCAGGCACATCTACTTTATGGAGGATAATTTATTGCATGCAATGTCTAAGACATGTGTAGTTCCATGTTGTCACTAAATTTCTTCGTATATTCTAAGCAGCATAGTGTACACAGCGAAAATAGAGGTCAGAGAATGCGTCAAGTGGTCGCTTACAAGAGGTTAAAAACAGTGAAAAATCATTAACCGTCAGGCCCAAAAAATGGTCGCGGTCGCTTACAGGAGGCGGTCGTTTAATGGAGGTTCCAACTGTGAGGCTTTGACTGGTAAAATTTTGATGTTTTTGGATTTTGATGTTATGAAGGTTCGACTTTATAGCCACTACTTTATCATTAGCCTGCAGTGAAGGCGTTTTCTTCGGGCGCACGAATGTTTTGCTCGCGACAGCGCGATGTTGAAGCTCGAAAAGAATGGAGAAAATGGGGCGAGTCAAAAGGAGCGGGGAAGGGGGCGGGGAGAGAGATTTTTTTCTCCCCTCCCCCTCCCCTCTTTCCTCCTTTCGCCCTCGCACCTACCCTTAGGGTTACTATTTTTACTCTCCCTAATCTTCCTCCGTCATAAGATGGCGGTTGCAACAGTACGAACTTTCGCCCGCACCAAAATAAGCCTGCACTGCAGGCTAGTTTATCATTTCAACAAAACATCTGTAACAAGCCAAACCACCGAAGCGACGGAAACGATACCTCCGAAACTACTGTCAAATATTGTTTACAATTTGCAAATATTTCATCGCGCGCACCATTCATAAACTTTCCAACATACTCTTGTCATCAAAATCGTCCTGAAGTACTCTTTCCTCTACCTGATATACGGTGCCGCATCAGTGTCAAATGCCCCTGCGTTTATTACAATCTTAGCCTCCTGGTCCTGGCAGATTCTATTAAGTGTTTTCATTTTCAGGAATTGTTCATTATTTTTATTATTGTTTCTCAAAATAAAATAAACGAACAATATCAAAATTGGTTAAAAACATTTGAATTTATTGATATGTTTTATGCTTTCATATAAAAATTATACTACACCCAAAATATATGTATAGTCTAATCATTTACAGTGTTTCGATGACTAGTGTTTATGATTAACAAAGTTAGGCCTGGTTCAGACTCCGTACTTTTCATGTGCCGAACCTAACTGAGTAAGTTCGACTTTGGAGCGACACTGGCGCGACATCTGATTCAGACGGTGTACCGTGTGTCGAACCTAAGTTAAGTTCGACAAAAAATCGACACACTCTGTCGAACTTAACGCTTTTGCCGCACCAAACTAAAACTGCCGTATCAAATTGATTCAGACGCCGCTCTTTTGCCGTACTTAATTCATCAGTTAGGTTCGGCACATGAGTGGAGCGGCGTCTGAACCGGGCCTAGAGAAGACTTAACGAAGGCGGGGGTCGGGGTGTACCCGGCCTGGGCAGATCAGGCGGGCATCCCCAGATCACACTTACACTTAAACCTAAGAAGGTCGCACGTTACAATAATCAATCAATCTCGACGAAATTACGGCCCTTTGTGATAATTCAATTCTACTTTAATAAACGTCGAGTGGTAAAAGCAGGGCGCAAATTGCTTCTAATGATTCTCAGGCTAAATATCCCGGCCAGCGATCTTGGACTAAGCTGTCTTTCATCCTTCAATTAATATATTACATGCGCAGAACTGTTCAAGGAAAATTTTCATGACCAGTTGCCATGGATAATAATCATTTTACATCCTGATGATAGCGAGCTTAAGCAACAACGACGGCGACGGCTACGAAAACGTCACTTAAAAAGTGAAATCACGCTACTTCAAACCTTGTCGCGCTTATTCCAACTCGTTCAATTCGTTAAATGCTGGCATATTTTTCTGGAGTTGAATTCTAAACGACTGTTTCAAAGTTCAGCAAAAGGGAAAGAAAATCGTTGTCGTTGTGTTCACCTCCTCGACAAAACGTGAAATTAGGCAGTTTCACGTTGTAGTCGTGCAGCGACGGTAAAGAAATGTACTGAAAAGCGTGATGCACGGGCAAACTTGTTGTTTTGCTAATCTAAACCTATTGGTTTTCTGTCGTTCTCGTTGCAGGGTGTCCAGTGGCATGGTTGCTCAAAAAAATAGGAAAATAGGAAACTCAGGATTGAGAAAATAGGAAAAATAGGAAACTCTACATTAAAAAATAGGAGAGAAATAGGAAAGTCAATAGTAAATTTTGTTGACAAAGATACCCTCCCTGCACCCCATCAAGGTTATAATAAACACTACGAAGCTTCAGCTTCGACGCTCGTAGGATTTAGATCAACTTTCGCAGCTAAGAGGGAGTGAAAATGATCAGTAACGTTTAGTTTATTGGCTCAGTTAGGCTGTCATCAGAATGATGCCTGTATGCTTGACTACAGGTCGAGCGTTGTTCAATAGTCAAAGGTGATCATATGAAAATTCCCTTCAAGTTGGCCGCAAACCTTTGAAAAGCTTTGAAGAGTGAAATTTCTTAGGATAGAACTGAATTTCTTACGATTGAGTAGTCATTGAAGGATATCGAAGTAGGACTAACGAGTCCTATGGAAAGCTTTTCTTCCATTAATCTGCAATTGGTAGCTGGTTGAGAAGATGCTTGTTTAAGTCAAAAGACCGCATAATTTTAAGTACGGAACCGGGCTTTCCGCGGTGTACGCAAAATGACACTGATCTATTTGGTACGAGATTGCGAGTGTGTCATGGTTAAGTTCTAAGAAGAACATAACATTCTACTTAGCTATGACTGAAAGACCAGTTTCGCAACCAAAATATTGGATCTTTTGTCAGTTGCTTAGGTATAGCTGTTAATAAGGGCTCACCAAGAGAGCTAGTGCCGTAAACTAAACTTTAGTCTGTTCGTTTCATGTAGCATCCCGATTCAGCTAGGGACTGGTTTTTCAAACAAGACGCTGATTGGATAATTTATCTGGCCTGTGTTGTGAGGGGACAACTTGATCCTGTTTTAAGTTTCAAAGATAAACATAAAAGCGAGCAAGACTTCAAAATAAAATATAACATGTACAGATACTGAAACGCAGTTTCAGTGGGCTATGCACAATATTATTCATTAGTATAATTAAATTGATGATTATCGAAAATTGAGTGCTATGATTGGCTAGGAGCTTCACTTCATCCCGCTATAATCACCACGTGGTGATTATAACGTTGAAGGGTAGCAGTTGTCAAAATGGCAGCCAGCTTTGTTGATGTTTCGAAGTCGGAAATTGATCAATTTAAAAAAAAAAAAAAAAGAAAATGCTGTTCCTCAAAAAACAAAAGATGCTACAAAATTTGGAGTCAAGCTATTCAAAGGTAGGTTGAGAAACTTTCTCTTTTGCAAGTAACACAATTTACTGAAAACTGGTATGTAAGTGTCGGCAACTTTTAGTAACTTTTGCGAAATATTTTGTTCTACAGAATGGTTTCAACAGCAGCAAAAGTTCAAAAATGAAATAGATAACAAGGAAGTCGATGAACTAAAATGTCTGGCAAAATTTCACGTTTCCGTGAGGAAAATCGACGGCAGCTATTATAAGAAAACCAGCTTGTCGATAAGAGCCGCCCTCGACCGAAATCTTAAAGCCCCCAAACCGTTTCAAAAATATGTCTCTTTTTTATGTTATTTTCTCGAATTATCATCCATGTAATTATACTACGTTTCGGTGACTATTCGCCGATATTCACGGTGACTATAGTCATGAGAACTAGAACACTAAATACAATACATGTAGCTGCACTAGAAAATTATACAAAAAGTAACAAGATGTTAAAAGAACTCTAATAAGCAATAGAGGTCATGGAAAGAACAAATGTAACTATTATGTTTACTAATATTAGAACATCAAAGTCAACATACTACTTGCTTTATGATAAATCTCATTAAAAAACACATAGAACAACTATAATTCTATTTTCAATTTTGTTATAAATCTTGGCTTCACTAGCTAAAAAATAGGAAAAAATAGGAACTGGACACCCTGTCGTTGCCGTCGCCGCCGTCGTTGCTTACGCTCCCTAATGTTATATGGTCACGTACGACAGGAAAACAATGCGAAAAGTGAAATATATCTACGATTCCATTAAAATAAGCTTGAGTGTAGCTATAGTTACAGCAATAAGCGGTTAAAAGGGCAATGTCATGAGTACATTGCTGTTTGAGGTCAATTCTGTGTTAAAGTTATTTCTTAGTGACTATACCCAGGGTTGTAACTAAGATTTCAAGTTGCCGGGTCAACACAACGGGGAACCAAACAGCTAGGGATTTCTTTTGGTTCTATTTTTCTTCTTTTTTCCAATGAAAGTAGCCGGAGGCTACATTCATAGTAGCCGGAGGAAATCCCCGGCCCCCGGCTCTTAATAACAATCCTGTCAGTACCCATATACAAAATGCTCCGTAAGAGATGTGAAGAAGATACATGTATGAAATAAATTTCATCAGGGTGCACTAATTAGTTTCAACCCATGTCCACCCTTGTCATCTATTGAAACAGACGACAGAAAACAGTTTCAATGCCCAAATATAAGGGAGTTTTAGCAACGACGGCGGAGGCGGCAACGAGAACGTCATAACAGCGCTAGGATTATTGAGCAAAACAACAAGTTTGCACGTGCATCACGCTTTTTTGTACATTTCTTTGCCAATACTGCACGGCCACGACGTGAAAATGCCTAATTTCACGTTTTATGGAGGACGTAAACAAGCGACGACGAAATTTTCTTTCTCTTTCTAAACTTGAGTGCGGTCCCCAAGAAATCAAGTCCAGGGAAATTTGCCTACATTAGACATTTCTAGCGAATTGGAATGAACGCGACAAAGTTTGAAAAAACGCTTATTCAGTTTTAAAAGGGACGTATTCGCTGCCGTCGCCGTTGTCAATGCCAAAACTCCCTGCAGTTTTAAATAACAAAACCTGAATCATCATTTCTGAAATTCAATTGATGCGAAGACAAGTTTTGGCTTCTTAAAAAGATAACAAATAGCGTGACATGGCCGCTTTATGTTCAAATACAGAGCAGTATAGTCATTCCTGAATAATGTGAGAATAATGGTATCCATGGTAACTATTATCTCTTTCCCGCAACACTTCTTGGTCTGGATCGCGCGGAGCTGTTCCTTCGTCCTGTCTGCTGACCACCTTCCAGCAAGTTCAAACCGCGTTCTGCCGCCATAAGTAAGTCCTGCGGAGTCATCAATGACAAGTTTTCTATTGATTGGTTCTCATTGTACATAATTTGTTGTCGTTGAAGCAAGAGGGCCCTTATTAGAGACCTAATCTCGTACCCAGATCTCTTGTTGACGAAGCCGGATCTACGTCGGCAACAGATCTGGGGCCCGTTTCTCGAAAGTCCCGGTAACTTTACGGGCCCGAAATCAAATATTCAAATCGAAATATAAAGAATAAGGAGCGCGGGTCCTGGCTAACAAACTACTCCATTTAGTTTCATTTACTGACAGTTTTATCATGTTAGATGCAAAACTATTGAAACCCCGATCTTTAATGTAAACGGAGACAGCTTACCGGGCCCGTTAATTATCGGGACTTTCGAGAAACGGGCCCCTGGGCACCAGGGGAATAAGAGACCTTAAGTAGTGCGCGCGCGTGAACCCGCAGCGTCATTTTGGCGGGAAAACGCGATAGCTGTCGCCATTTGCTTGATACGAGTTTTAGCGGCCGTTTTAGCGAAAATGTCGTAGTGACGGAAACAGAAGTTTTATCATTTTGCGATCGGAAGAGGGCTTAACATCCTTCAATAAAAATAATCGTGCTAGCTTTTCTGGTATTTGAGAAAAAGCGAAAAAAAAATTACGTCAAACCTCGTCCTTGTCCTTGAATCTACAGGTCTCTATTCTTGGTCTGAGAACTTACAAAAGTAACAAACGACGAAAGACAAAGAAAACACTCAGGAAAGTACAGTTTTACCTCGTGCTCATCATCCGAGAACTTTGTCTTGGCTTCCGAGAGCAAGCTAGTGATGTTTTTGTTAAGTTTCATTTCCTCTTTGATGTCCTCTAGTAAAAGGAAACGAAAAGTATTAGTACTTGTGCTGTGAGTGATAAATAAAGGTAATCTAATGACTGAGTGGAGAACAGTTCTGTCTTTAATTATAGGAGAAGTTAAACAACATCGCGGGAATCCCATTTGTTCAATCGCGAATATGACTGTAGATAAAAATAAATTGGACGACACGAAGTACCGTTACCCAATCAGTCATAACTAAAGCAAAATTTGAGAAAATAATTTATGAGGATTTGAACTTTCCAACTTTCAAAAAGTCAACAGTGCAAAATGAGTTCGTTACTACCGGGAAATGAAGACAATCTGTAGCTTACGATGTCAACTGAGGCAACAAACCTTTCCCCAATTTAATTTACAAGGAAATTAAAAATACAATACACAAGTATATCAACCTACCGTAGTCTACAAGCTCAGAGAAGAGGATGCAAATGTTTTCAACAACTTCGTCGTTTTCTTTGATGTTACCGGTACTTAACAATAAGAAAGAAGTGAGGCGGTTAGATAGATATTCAGGAGGCAAAAATTGTGAATAATTGCGTTTTCTGAAGCTACGGCATTCCCGTGAACAAAAGCATCAATTCGCTGCTGTCACGAAGCTCTTCTATAGCTTGGAATTAGCGAGTTTCAGTGAGTTATCTAACCTGCGAAAAGAGCCCTCTCTCCTCGCTCGTCATCACTAGCAACGCTTAGCTGGCAAAACAACCGTCTCTCATCGTTCCTTCCCAGCCTCCTCCTCAGGCGCTTCGTTTTTCTTGTGGTAGAGGCGAGCGCAAAACGCGAGTGACTGGTGATGAACCGCAAGGGACCATGGGAAGGAAACAGACAGCAGGCGAAGCCTGTTGTCTCCTTCCCGCCTTCCTTTGCGCGCACATTTTCTTCGAGAGAGAGACGTCTGGGTAAGAGGCAGGTTCCTCACCGCTAGGGACGAAACGCTGGCGAAACGTCCATGGCAGCGAAGAGCGACTGAGGAGAGACTGCTGTTTTCGTAGGCTACGAGTAATCCTATTTCGCAAAAGACCACGTTGCAAAAAGACAGCTGCAATAAAGTCCTTTATTGAAGGATGCACTATATGGGCATAAAGCAATTTAACAGACAGAGAGCATTGCCTACTTGTAGGCAGCAATGATGCTCTCTACCCCCTCGGCCTTGAGCAGCTGGTAAGCGCACACCTCTGAAGAAGTAAAAGGAAATTTGTAAACAAAGTAAAGCATCATCTCAACGGAACTTTTAAAGTAACAAGAATTTCGAGCTGCGGTCAGTAATTTAGAGGACAGGGTCTAAAACTCTTCCTATGATAATAATTAATTAATCCTCACCTCGAGCCTCTACAATACTTGCCAAGGCCATGCAAGCATTCTTTATGACCTTTGCCTCCTATTAACGCATAGAAAATGAAGCGTTATTAGACAATAGCTTTTTCGACCCAAAACCCAGAAACCAGAGACCCGAATTCCGGATTCCACAACACAAACTTCCAGGATTCCGGATTCCGAGTACTGGATCCGGATTTACTGTGAATGGAACTTGGATTACGGATTCCAATCGTTAGTGGGATTCCGGATTCCTTGAGCTGTACACCTGTTTCCAAAGCCCAGAATTCCTGATTCCACAGCAAAACTTTGCTGGATTCCGAATCCCACAAGCGAAAATCTCACAGATTCCATAATTTGAATTCCCTTACATAGGGCAGACTCTTAGTCTTCTTCGGTTCCCCTTTATACGCTTTTGCTGGGCTTACTAGTCATTAGTCCTCCCGAAAACGTCGAGGATCTTTAAATTGGGTAGTGAAGCGGGATCTCTATTCGAATTTTTCCAGTCGAAGTTACATTATTGTGTTTATTGTGTTAACAGTTTCTATAGAAACTGAAGCACTATGCAGTTATGTCGTCTCCGTAATAACCGCAAGTAAGAAAAGCGATAATTCTGAAGGCCAGATGCAAAATACAATATGATTCAGTTCGTAAACAGGGAAAGTGTATAGTTCTCTAGTCGTTGCTTGTCATTAAATCAATATATTTTTCCTAGTTAAAAGGAATTATTCGAAAAAAGGGGTAATTGTGGCTATCGGCGAGCTACATAAGCGTGACCTGGTAATTTCTCGACGCAAGAAGTCACGCTTCATTTTCTTCGACGCTACTCATCAGCGTGCTATTTGACATGAAGGTTAAGCGTAAATAGTTGTGTCAGATACTCTATTCTCCTCAGAGGCTCCCGCTGGGTATCCCCAAAAAAATAGCAATAATAAAAAAAATACAAAGCGCGCGGGGGACGATGGGACGTGGGAAGAGCCTCGCTTCCTCTCTTTCCCCTTCCCATCGTCCACCGTGCGCTTTCATTTTTTCCTCTCCCCAGCCTCCTTGCGAGACAAAGAGGCCTCAGCGGAGGGGGGAGCATCAGGTAAATAACCGTAACCTTGTACGTGGAACGTTTTTTCCTTGATGAAAGAAATCACGCTCTATTTTCTTCGCGCGTGCACTCTCCTCATTGTAAACTCTGAAGAAAAGAGACTGCTCACAGTCTAGTTACAACATGAAGAAGGGTAGAAAATAGTAGCGTTACAAGAATACAAACAACAGGACGGGGCCTACATCTCATGATCGTTCAGAGCTTGACGTCGGAATGTTTGTGAAAGGTGCCTGCCGCGCATTTTATAGTTCAAAGCGATCACATACTAAGAGTGTTAACCTTTATTAGTGGATTTCTTAGGTAGGGCAAAGATGGGACACCGAGCTGGTCATTTATTAGCCTGTGCCAGGTTCTCAGATAGTATATAGGGTACGTATTAAAACGAGCAAAGCGAAAATAAGACGCGCGCGACTTGGGAAAGGGGGCGGTGGCGGCGGAAAAATGGCCTTTTTCGCATTTTCTTTTTACTGAACGACTTTTCATCACCATCTCGGAGCCTGGAACAGGCTAGTCATGTATAAAGTAAAAATGATTGGAAAAATCAAAAGGAAAAGGCTCTCACGGAGGTTTGCCAAAAAAACATCATCGAAAAAGAAAAGGTGAACGTGGTCGAATTCGTTAACTTGGAAAGTTAGAGTTGTGAAGCTGTCACTGACCAGAAACGTATGCTTGCTTACTATAGACTGTATCTTAACCAGCTTTTAAACTGAAGCTAAGGTTTTAAAGGCCTTACAAGGATATCTGTTATCAATAAATAAAGACAGAGAATCTGGCTTGATCACATCCTACGATTCCATGGAGATCTTCTCCAGCTGCTGGTTATTGATGGGGGAATGGAGGGGAAGAGGAAGGAATGTTGGACGGAGTGAAGGACGGCGCCCCCTACATAACAGTTAAGATCCGCGCCAAAAAGGAAAACTTTGCGGAAGGACGTGCATGCAAGGCAGAACACACACAGTCAGAGCGCTGGATTATGAGTTGATTGGTTAGTTTTCTGGACGTTCCCACAAAATTCCGAGACCTGCCTTTTCATATTGGTTCCTTGCTACTGGAATGTTGAGTTGCTTTCAAATTGTAAAATTAGGACAAAATTATGCTATTTTTCCACGAAATGTTACATCAACTAAGTTAACGCATTTAAATTGTTTATTCCCCATTTTATTTAACCACAGATTAAGATACACTTTGCATTTTATTTTAGGCACCTTGTTGTATTTACCGTGAAATATCATTGTCATATCGTTAATGTATCCAGTCAACAATACAAGTGGATTCTAAGCATTAGGGTCCACATTTAAGTTCATGCCATGTTTGTCACAGCATCGAAACATCCCTTGGTCACACCCACCAGCACAGTAATTTATAAACCATTTGTTGTTTCTTCTTTGAATGTTAATTTTATGTTGGTGACCAGCTCCAGTTGTGGTGATAAGATTCTTGATACGTGTCCCTTTCATAGCAAGCTCCACCTGCTCTGGTGTCAAAGTGACCTCATGAATATGCGGTCCTGGGGGTGTTTTCTGCGCCGAGATCATCCTCAAAGTCAAGGATCTCTTCGCAGGTTCCGTTGGGGAAACACCGGTTTTTCCTGCAAGTGGTTCCCTGTAGATGTAGTTATAGGTGTTGGATTTCATCAGGATATCTTTAGTTGCCTCAAGTTCCTTCCAAACAGCGCTTCCCTCTCCATGAACTGGCATTATGGGATATCGCTGTCGACAGATCCCTACGCCATTAATGGATGGAAGAAAGATTCGTGTTCCGCTGGCTCGAGTGATCCTAACGTCAATTCCATTCCGATCCAAAACTCCAACGCTATTCTTTGTGGTGTCTGCAGCGTCGCTGCTAACTTCCTTCCCTGAAAAGAAGGCCGATGGAGTTAGATAGTACTTCTTACTATTGGTGCCATTGTAAGCCTTGTCCGGAGTTCTTCCTCCATAGCGACCACCAAGCCACACGGTCTTTCCGTACGGCGTCCTCTCGTCACCTTTATATTCAAGGTTAAATGGGTTCCATCTGTTTAGTGGTGTCATGTAGATTATTTCAAGTGGAATGGCGTACGAAAACTTTTGGTTGACCGTCTTACATCTCGGCCGCTTTTTGGGCCCCTTGCAGGTCTTGAGCGTCATACCAGCCACTTTAGGTTGGGTAGTCATGGCCATGAACAGGTTTTCATCGGCATAGCCACGACGCCTAAAGGATTGGCCCATTGCGTCTTTCTCCAAGACTTTAAACCAGCGATGGTAGTAACCGGCATTTATTTTTCCGCTCTTCTTTGGGTCAATGGTGTGAGCTGGCAGGTCAAATGCCTCATCTGTTAGATTAGCTTGATAGTTGTCTTTTCCAGGAATTTCGCTCATAAGCTCATCAAGCAGTGTATACCTCGGATTGTTGTATCTTTCGGTCCACGTGTCCGAGTCTCGAGGGTTGATTTGGAATCTTGCTGCACGGAAGTTTTTTTGTTCGTCGTATTTTCTTCGCGCAGGAAGCCTGGCATGGAAATCGTCAACCACACGAAACCTGTTTAAGGGGATATCGCGACTCACTGGGTGACACAAAATGCGGTAATTCCATTGAGCAAAGACAGGGATCGTTTCGTTGATAATGTCGATAATGGTGGTTGGAAGGAAGGAAAAGTTTTCAAGATTGTCTTTTCTGCCAGTGTAAGAAGTAAAGCGGACTTTTTCCTGTAAGTCGAACCATGTTTGGGCGTCAATAAAATGTCTGTCACTTTCAAACGGTTCATCGATGTCTTTTGTTGCTGTGGTCCATGCGCCTTCTAGAAAGCACAGTACAGGCTTGAAATACTTCCTGTAATCTCTAATAGTGTGATTTTGTAACTTCCATGCCTTGAACCACTCACGCATCTCCACGATTTGTTCGTCCACGGTAGCTTTATTTTTCACCTCTGGTGGCACTTCTGGAAATGGAATCGGCTCCGTTGCATGGTATTCTTTGCTGGATTTGCTTGCCATGTAGAGTCGGTAGTCGTTGTGTCTTGTCCTAAATTCTACTCCATTAAGGACGCCAATGAATTCTCCCAGGCCCACCGTGCGGATATTGTTTGCGTGTTCATGAATAGACATAAGTCTTCCAGAGTTGCCATGGGTGTCTGAAAAGTAGTTTCGTGTTCCACTGTTACTGAGGCGCACTTGCTTTACACCAGAATCACCATCGGATCTGATGCGTTCTTCAACAAACATCTGCTGCAGCATGACTTGTCGAGACAGAGCTCCCACGATCTGACGAAAGGCCTCCAGTTCTGCCGTTAGTTTCTCGTCAGCGTTCGCAAATGCAGTTGTTACTCCTCTCAAGAATTCACCATCGCTCGTAACCGTTGTAAGTAGTTTGACGAAGATTAGCATTTGCAGCGAAAACGCCATATCTGTTTAGGCAAGAAATCAAACATAAAGTAGCTTACTGTATCAAGAGGGAACGAATGTTCAGTAGGTCAATCAAAGAAACTCAGTTGAAGAAAGTACAGTTTGTGAATATTGATAGTCCTTCTTACTTGCAGCGTTAATTGTTGTTATCTTGCTAGCTTAACTTTACTGCTAGTTTTTTTATTTTTTCTTTGCTCCGAGTATAGGGTTCTAGCATAAATGTTGAAGAAGTGGACGAGTAAACGTTCATCTTGTAGATTTGAAAATGGAACAACAAAAAGAAAATTTATGGAAAATAAAATCCATAGTTACCTGCTACAAGCTCTTTGCAAAATCCACTTGAAGAAAAAAAACGGTGGACGGTTTTTCCTGTTACGTCAATATAAAGCAAGAAAGAAATAATAATTCAATTTTGAAAGGTTCCTTGCTTTAAACATTATACCGTTTACTAATTGATGTACTTGTTTTGACAAACACATTAACATCGTACCTTTGAAATAAGACTGAAAGCCTGTGTGTTTCTTGATTAATGTTGATTTTTAATCACAGTAACACACATTCAGTATGCCTCGTAAGGTCAGTGTTTCCAGGGGAAAATAACATCTGGTTGTGATAAGAAATTATGTCATTGTTCTTTCTTTCAACTTTCCTTTTATGCAGGCCTTAAATTTTGGAGTTAGTGTTTGACTTTTTATACTTGTCAGTAGCTAATCTTCGTTTTAGATTACCTTTTCTGTTTACGGACCCTTTTTTTAACATTATCGAAAGATTTGTATTTTTCCCCTATGTTTTTAGAGTGCAAACTATTGCCTGTGTTGAATTGTCTGCGAAATGTATTGTTTACCACTAAACGGCTTCATCGAAGAAACAGGTGACATCGACTTGCTGACATTATCGTGTGACCCCCTTAGTACCCCCATAAGCAGCTGATAAGTATTTACTAAAAATCCCTTTATTGTATAACTGTACGATGACCATCTTGCTCTCAAAATCGCTCTTTGACCTGTTTTATAAGTTGCCACATGCCTAAAAAGTGGCCCGTCAATGACGTTAATTATATTTGTATTGTCGTTCAGTGAGAATAATGCTGCTTATGCAAATAAACCGTAAGGAAGGTCCTCGCAGTTATAAACGCAACTGAGCTTGACGTCGGAATGTTTGTGAAAGGTGCCTGCCGCGCATTTTATAGTTCAAAGCGATCACATACTAAGAGTGTTAACCTTTATTAGTGGATTTCTTAGGTAGGGCAAAGATGGGACACCGAGCTGGTCATTTATTAGCCTGTGCCAGGTTCTCAGATAGTATATAGGGTACGTATTAAAACGAGCAAAGCGAAAATAAGACGCGCGCGACTTGGGAAAGGGGGCGGTGGCGGCGGAAAAATGGCCTTTTTCGCATTTTCTTTTTACTGAACGACTTTTCATCACCATCTCGGAGCCTGGAACAGGCTAGTCATGTATAAAGTAAAAATGATTGGAAAAATCAAAAGGAAAAGGCTCTCACGGGGGTTTGCCAAAAAAACATCATCGAAAAAGAAAAGGTGAACGTGGTCGAATTCGTTAACTTGGAAAGTTAGAGTTGTGAAGCTAGTCACTGACCAGAAACGTATGCTTGCTTACTATAGACTGTATCTTAACCAGCTTTTAAACTGAAGCTAAGGTTTTAAAGGCCTTACAAGGATATCTGTTATCAATAAATAAAGACAGAGAATTGGCTTGATCACATCCTACGATTCCATGGAGATCTTCTCTAGCTGCTGGTTATTGATGGGGGAATGGAGGGGAAGAGGAAGGAATGTTGGACGGAGTGAAGGACGGCGCCCCCTACATAACAGTTAAGATCCGCGCCAAAAAGGAAAACTTTGCGGAAGGACGTGCATGCAAGGCAGAACACACACAGTCAGAGCGCTGGATTATGAGTTGATTGGTTAGTTTTCTGGACGTTCCCACAAAATTCCGAGACCTGCCTTTTCATATTGGTTCCTTGCTACTGGAGTGTTGAGTTGCTTTCAAATTGTAAAATTATGACAAAATTATGCTATTTTTCCACGAAATGTTACATCAACTAAGTTAACGCATTTAAATTGTTTATTCCCCATTTTATTTAACCACAGATTAAGATACACTTTGCATTTTATTTTAGGCACCTTGTTGTATTTACCGTGAAATATCATTGTCATATCGTTAATGTATCCAGTCAACAATACAAGTGGATTCTAAGCATTAGGGTCCACATTTAAGTTCATGCCATGTTTGTCACAGCATCGAAACATCCCTTGGTCACACCCACCAGCACAGTAATTTATAAACCATTTGTTGTTTCTTCTTTGAATGTTAATTTTATGTTGGTGACCAGCTCCAGTTGTGGTGATAAGATTCTTGATACGTGTCCCTTTCATAGCAAGCTCCACCTGCTCTGGTGTCAAAGTGACCTCATGAATATGCGGTCCTGGGGGTGTTTTCTGCGCCGAGATCATCCTCAAAGTCAAGGATCTCTTCGCAGGTTCCGTTGGGGAAACACCGGTTTTTCCTGCAAGTGGTTCCCTGTAGATGTAGTTATAGGTGTTGGATTTCATCAGGATATCTTTAGTTGCCTCAAGTTCCTTCCAAACAGCGCTTCCCTCTCCATGAACTGGCATTATGGGATATCGCTGTCGACAGATCCCTACGCCATTAATGGATGGAAGAAAGATTCGTGTTCCGCTGGCTCGAGTGATCCTAACGTCAATTCCATTCCGATCCAAAACTCCAACGCTATTCTTTGTGGTGTCTGCAGCGTCGCTGCTAACTTCCTTCCCTGAAAAGAAGGCCGATGGAGTTAGATAGTACTTCTTACTATTGGTGCCATTGTAAGCCTTGTCCGGAGTTCTTCCTCCATAGCGACCACCAAGCCACACGGTCTTTCCGTACGGCGTCCTCTCGTCACCTTTATATTCAAGGTTAAATGGGTTCCATCTGTTTAGTGGTGTCATGTAGATTATTTCAAGTGGAATGGCGTACGAAAACTTTTGGTTGACCGTCTTACATCTCGGCCGCTTTTTGGGCCCCTTGCAGGTCTTGAGCGTCATACCAGCCACTTTAGGTTGGGTAGTCATGGCCATGAACAGGTTTTCATCGGCATAGCCACGACGCCTAAAGGATTGGCCCATTGCGTCTTTCTCCAAGACTTTAAACCAGCGATGGTAGTAACCGGCATTTATTTTTCCGCTCTTCTTTGGGTCAATGGTGTGAGCTGGCAGGTCAAATGCCTCATCTGTTAGATTAGCTTGATAGTTGTCTTTTCCAGGAATTTCGCTCATAAGCTCATCAAGCAGTGTATACCTCGGATTGTTGTATCTTTCGGTCCACGTGTCCGAGTCTCGAGGGTTGATTTGGAATCTTGCTGCACGGAAGTTTTTTTGTTCGTCGTATTTTCTTCGCGCAGGAAGCCTGGCATGGAAATCGTCAACCACACGAAACCTGTTTAAGGGGATATCGCGACTCACTGGGTGACACAAAATGCGGTAATTCCATTGAGCAAAGACAGGGATCGTTTCGTTGATAATGTCGATAATGGTGGTTGGAAGGAAGGAAAAGTTTTCAAGATTGTCTTTTCTGCCAGTGTAAGAAGTAAAGCGGACTTTTTCCTGTAAGTCGAACCATGTTTGGGCGTCAATAAAATGTCTGTCACTTTCAAACGGTTCATCGATGTCTTTTGTTGCTGTGGTCCATGCGCCTTCTAGAAAGCACAGTACAGGCTTGAAATACTTCCTGTAATCTCTAATAGTGTGATTTTGTAACTTCCATGCCTTGAACCACTCACGCATCTCCACGATTTGTTCGTCCACGGTAGCTTTATTTTTCACCTCTGGTGGCACTTCTGGAAATGGAATCGGCTCCGTTGCATGGTATTCTTTGCTGGATTTGCTTGCCATGTAGAGTCGGTAGTCGTTGTGTCTTGTCCTAAATTCTACTCCATTAAGGACGCCAATGAATTCTCCCAGGCCCACCGTGCGGATATTGTTTGCGTGTTCATGAATAGACATAAGTCTTCCAGAGTTGCCATGGGTGTCTGAAAAGTAGTTTCGTGTTCCACTGTTACTGAGGCGCACTTGCTTTACACCAGAATCACCATCGGATCTGATGCGTTCTTCAACAAACATCTGCTGCAGCATGACTTGTCGAGACAGAGCTCCCACGATCTGACGAAAGGCCTCCAGTTCTGCCGTTAGTTTCTCGTCAGCGTTCGCAAATGCAGTTGTTACTCCTCTCAAGAATTCACCATCGCTCGTAACCGTTGTAAGTAGTTTGACGAAGATTAGCATTTGCAGCGAAAACGCCATATCTGTTTAGGCAAGAAATCAAACATAAAGTAGCTTACTGTATCAAGAGGGAACGAATGTTCAGTAGGTCAATCAAAGAAACTCAGTTGAAGAAAGTACAGTTTGTGAATATTGATAGTCCTTCTTACTTGCAGCGTTAATTGTTGTTATCTTGCTAGCTTAACTTTACTGCTAGTTTTTTTATTTTTTCTTTGCTCCGAGTATAGGGTTCTAGCATAAATGTTGAAGAAGTGGACGAGTAAACGTTCATCTTGTAGATTTGAAAATGGAACAACAAAAAGAAAATTTATGGAAAATAAAATCCATAGTTACCTGCTACAAGCTCTTTGCAAAATCCACTTGAAGAAAAAAAACGGTGGACGGTTTTTCCTGTTACGTCAATATAAAGCAAGAAAGAAATAATAATTCAATTTTGAAAGGTTCCTTGCTTTAAACATTATACCGTTTACTAATTGATGTACTTGTTTTGACAAACACATTAACATCGTACCTTTGAAATAAGACTGAAAGCCTGTGTGTTTCTTGATTAATGTTGATTTTTAATCACAGTAACACACATTCAGTATGCCTCGTAAGGTCAGTGTTTCCAGGGGAAAATAACATCTGGTTGTGATAAGAAATTATGTCATTGTTCTTTCTTTCAACTTTCCTTTTATGCAGGCCTTAAATTTTGGAGTTAGTGTTTGACTTTTTATACTTGTCAGTAGCTAATCTTCGTTTTAGATTACCTTTTCTGTTTACGGACCCTTTTTTTAACATTATCGAAAGATTTGTATTTTTCCCCTATGTTTTTAGAGTGCAAACTATTGCCTGTGTTGAATTGTCTGCGAAATGTATTGTTTACCACTAAACGGCTTCATCGAAGAAACAGGTGACATCGACTTGCTGACATTATCGTGTGACCCCCTTAGTACCCCCATAAGCAGCTGATAAGTATTTACTAAAAATCCCTTTATTGTATAACTGTACGATGACCATCTTGCTCTCAAAATCGCTCTTTGACCTGTTTTATAAGTTGCCACATGCCTAAAAAGTGGCCCGTCAATGACGTTAATTATATTTGTATTGTCGTTCAGTGAGAATAATGCTGCTTATGCAAATAAACCGTAAGGAAGGTCCTCGCAGTTATAAACGCAACTTTAACAGTTTCGAAAAGAAAGCCTTTAAAATTCAGGCTGGCTTGTGCTTGTACCGGACTAAGACCCTCGATACCATTGCAGCGCAAGGTTTTGAATCCCGTAGAAGCCCGAATTTTTTCAGGATTTCTTCGTGCAACTGAAAAACTTGTGTTTATCAGTAATTGCGATGATCTTCCTCACATTTTTCTCCTTTCCGCAGTTCTAAGATATTATCTTCATATATTTATTATTTCAAAACGTATTTGCTTCTTATCAGTATCCTATATCAAGTTTTTTTAAAATTGGCTTGTTCCATTTCATATAGATAGATAGAGTTTTTAGATTTCAGCTGAAGGATGTATTATTAATCTTAGCTCCGTCCAGCATTGTAAAGAATCGTCTACACATGAGTCAATTAATTCAGAAATTCTCTATTTGCCCTCCCTAGTGTAAGACGGCCAAAACGGTCGACGCAAGAACAACAGATTTGAGCTTAAGTTGACTGATAAAACAAAAACAGGAACGAGAAACTAAAATACCAAAATAAAGCAAAAACTACAATAAGCTAAACAGTATTTACAAGCTACATATTAGAAACAAGAATAAGACTAGATAGCTGATTGCAAATTCTCGCTAATAAATTGCATTTTAAAAAAAGGGCAATAAGATTACTTAAGAAACTATAAAAGTGACTTTAAAATGTAAACAAACCGAAAGCTGAGTATATTCTGAGAACTATTACATGAGGTTCAAAATCAACAAAAACCCGGGATTCGGATTACATGTCTTGCATAACAATACAGCATGGCTAAGCTAATAACTAGTACAATGAAACTAAATCACGAAAAATAATGACAAAAGGATAATTTGGAACAAAAATGGATTGAACACAAGGGAACAATTACAGAAAATGATTGGAAACAAAGGTAAGCAACTATTGCTGAGAACGATACAGGGGCACCCAACGACAATTTTTGGAAAATATCTGTTCGGAAGACGATTTAAGATCTAGAATTTTCGGAACATTTGTTGTTAAATTTCTTGCTTGCCTGCCTCTCCTTGGATTCTCGAACCTTCCAAAAATGGTATAATTGCTCATTTTTAACAGATTTTTACCCCAAAAAGGTCACCTAGAATTTTCGGGAGCCTTTTTTCAGGCTGAAATTTTCGAAAAGGTAAGTTTTGATCGCTATAAATTTCGGATCACTAGACTTTCAGCTAGGAAATCCGAACAGATGAAAAATTTTTAGGGAATAAAAATATGCCTATATCTACTTTTTGAATACTAAAAAACGTCCAACAATGCTATGTTTAAGTGGTTTTGAACTATATTCTCGTTGGGTGCCCCTGACAATAGCAGAATGTTTAACAGGCAATTACATGCTGTGCCAGACTGAAGGACATTCTAAACAGAAAGTTAGTGAAAATGCGGCTAAATTATAAGATTAATACTGCTACAAACCAGGGAAATAGAAAGCTATTAAACTAAACTAAAAGGCCTAAAATAGTAAAGAAATAGGAAAAAGCTGGAAAATAAGGTAACATACCAAATGTTATTGATAACTACACATCCGTGGGAGACTTGAAAATATACTTGATTTGAGGACTTTCCCTAATGAGGTAAACCAACTGAATTTACTGAGCAAGTGGTTGCCAATTTATAATAGATTTGGAGGAAAATCGAAAATAACTAAAAACCAAATAAGGCTAGGGAGTGAATTTACTGCCCACTAATACAGGATTTAACTAAGGGAACTAGGTGTTTACTACTCCTACACAACAGGATTTAGGTACAAGAAATGTGTGGGAATAGAGTGGTTTTCGTTTGAGTGTCGTAAAACCAAAACCAAAGTAATTACTCTGGCCAATCACATAGGACACAGACAATACATTGAACCAATCAAAACTCGAAGTAATTACATGTGGCTGACGCAAAGCGCGGGAAAATGCCTGCGAGCGCGTCACAATTGGCTTTGGTTTTACTTCCGATTGGATGAAAAGGTGGCGCGAATCTTTTAAGCCAATCGCATCGTGTAGAAAGTGCAAAACCAATTACTTTTCGACACTCAAATGAAAACCGCTCTAATACAACTACACATGGTAAACACAATAAGGTGTGTAAGGAAATAAAGTTATTTGGGTAAACAACAAATTAATAATCATTAGGATAATGAATATAGTTGAAAATAATTTGGAAATAAAAGGAAAATAAAATAAGCTTAAAATGTGACCTTGTCACACTAGTTAGCCCTTGATCTACAGTTAGTCTCCCTTCTTCCTCGAATAAGCGTCAACCTCTCGTCAACCCCTTTTCCCGAGCCAAGAGCTGACAACATCCCTCGCGCATGCTCTGATTGTCTCGCTTTAACCGAGTTGACCCAGTTGGGAGGCAGGGCGGGCCAAAGCGTTTATGTGGAGTCAAGTTGGCCTGACCAGGAGGGTGACCACCATCGAAAAATGGTGACCATAGGCGGGGCACCTCCTAGCCGAGCTAACGTTTTGTTTCTCTTGTAAACGGTTCGCCCGGGCGCGCCCGAAAAGTTGGTCGGGCAGACGGTTGACCCTTCTACCCAGATCAAGTTTTTTCTTCTTTTGTTTAAGAAGGTATGGAATTCAAAGACTTGACTCTCCTACACTGAAGAATACTAGGGTCAATTAAATTCATCAGTTCAATCCTTTTTTATCATACTAAAGATGACAGAAAACTCAAATAAACTTTCCTAAATAAAACAGGAAAATTCATCCTTTCTTAATTACTTCCATCTGTTTATCCTTTCTTGCTCTCTAAATTCAAAATCACTCAAAATCAGCGCGGCGCAGCTTCGTTACAAAACCGCGAAATCACCGTTCTCATGTGTGAACTGAAATTCAATCCGATATTATTTTCGTGCCGGGGCAAAACCAGAGACCTAGCTTCAGTCAATAGCAAAAACAGATCTTTATGTTAAACCTACTGACATACAGTCGAACCTCCCGTAAGCGACCACCCAAAATGCAAAGACTGAGTGGTCGCTTGCGGCAGGTGGTCGTTTACAGGGATCGAACCACAGGGGGCGTTTTCCGAGAAGAGGTCCAGGCACATCTACTTTATGGAAGATAATTTATTGCATCAAGAGACTATAAAGGGGACAGAGAGGGCATCCTCCATATACACCCTATTCCATAGGTAATTCGTCTTGAGTTATTTTTAACACCACAGATCCCAAGGGGGATTAGACAACAGTTACATAGCGCGAATGTGTTCCGCGTGGATGACCCACGCTGAGAGCCACGCGTCCTTTACGAAATGACGCAGAACAAAATGGGGGAAGACGCGGAGAGCGATTTTGCTATTCCTTTTGTCGACGAAAACGACTACAGCGAGATTTCTGCGAAAGCTGTGTCAGCGAAACCGAAATTAAAAAAGAATCGCCCTTCCTCTCTTGTATAGAGCAAACAGTAGAGCAGGGAAATCCTTAACACACTGAATATTCTCTCAGGATCATTTATAATTTACAGTTTGAAGAGAGCAATTTCTGGTTTGATGTTTATTTTTTTCAGTCTTTATAGCGATTATTCCTACCCACTTACTTTGTCAATTGTAGGCGAACCCTCCTAAAGCTGAATTTCAAGGGACCATATTCAAGCTCAGAAAGAGAAATAAAATTTCGTCGTTGCTTATTTACGTCCTCCATAAAACGCGAAATTAGGCATTTTCACGTCGTAGTCGTGCAAAAACGGGAAAGAAATGAACAAAAAAGTGTGTTGCACGTGCGAAGTTGTTGTTTTGCTAATTAAACCTATTGTTTTTTTGACGTTCTAGTTGTCGTCCGCGTCGTTGGATCTTAAACTCCCTAAATTGTACAAACGACCGGTTTCAATAGACCGGCGAAATTTCTCATTTTATTAAAGCACTGAGGTTACGACAACTTCGAGTTAAACTGATTTCACGGGTTGTCAAAGAGTCCAGCGATTCCTTTTTCCCAGGTGAGCGCCGACTCATTTCGCTTCAATATTCAGGAATGCTCTCGATCTTTTTACGCTTTCATTGCCTCTCGCCCGACATGTTTTGCATGGCGTTTGGTCATGCGAAACCTCCACGAAACATCCACGCCTCGCGCGAGGTAACTTTATCCCGATTCTAAAAATAACTCGAGACGAATTACCTATGGAATAGGGTGTATATGGGGGATGCCCTCTCTGTCCCCTTTATAGTCTCTTGATTGCATGCAATGTCTAAGCTACGACATGTGTAGTTCCATGTTATCACTAAAGTTCTTCGTATAATCTAAGTAGCCTAGTGCACACAGCGAACATAGAGATCAGAGAATGCGTCAAGTGGTAGCTTACAAGAGGTTAAAAACAGTGGAAAATCTTTAACCGTCAGGCCCAAAAACTGGTCTCGGTCTCTTACAGGAGGTGGTCGTTTACTAGAGGTTCCAACTGCAAGGCTTTGACTGGCAAAATTTTGATGTTTTTGGATCTTGATGTTATGGAGGTTCAACTGTGTAGCCACTAGTTTATCATTAGCCTGCAATGCAGGCGTTTTTTTCGGGCGCGCGAATGTTTTGCTCGCGAAAGCGCATGTTGAAACTCGAAAAGAGAGGAGAAAATGGGACGAGTCAAAAGGAGCGGGGGATGGGGCGGGGAGAGAGAAGTTTTTTTCCCTCCCCTCCCCCTCCCCTCTTTCCTTTTTTCGCCCTAGCACCTACCCTTAGGGTTACTATTTTTACTCTCCCTAATCTTCCTTCGTCATAACAAAGATGGCGGTTACAACAGTACGAACATAAATAAGCAACTTTCGCCCGCCCAAAATACGCCTGCACTGCGGGAACATCTGTAACAAGCCAAACCACCGAAGCGACGGAAACGAAACCTCCGAAACTTGTTTACAATTTGCAAATATTTCATCACACGCACCATTCATAAACTTTCCAACATACTCTTGTCATCAAAATCGTTCTGAAGTACTCTTTCCTCTACCTGATATATGGTACCGCATCGGTGTCAAATGCCCATGCTTTTATTGCAGTCTTGGCCTCCTGGTCCCGGCAGATTCTGTTCAGTGTTGTCTTTTTCAAGAATTGTTCATTATTTTTATTATTGTTTCTCCAAAAAAAAATAAACGAACATATCATAATCGGTTAAAAACATTTGAATTTATTGATATGTTTTATGCTTTCATATAAAAATTATACTACACCCAAAACATATGTATAGCCTAATCATTTACAGTGTTTCGATGACAAGTGTTTATGATTTTAATCATAAACACTTCTTTTGTTAAAACAAAGTTAAGAAGACGTAACGAAGACGGGGGTTGGGTTGTACCCGGCCTGGGCAGATCAGGCGGGCATCCCCAGATCACACTTACACTTAAAACTAAGAAGGCCGCACGTTACAATAATCAATCAATCTCAACGAAATTACGGCCCTTTGTGATAATTCAATTCTACTTTAATAAACGTCGAGTGGTAAAAGCAGGGCGCAAATTGCTTCTAATGATTCTCAGGCTAAATATCCCGGCCAGCGATCTTGGACTAAGCTGTCTTTTATCCTTCAATTAATATATTACATGCGCAGAACTGTTCAAGGAAAATTCTCATGACCAGTTGCCATGGATAATAATCATTTTACATCCTGATGATAGCGAGCTTACGCAACAACGACGGCGACAGCTACAAAAACGTCACTTAAAAAGTGAAATCACGCTACTTCAAACCTTGTCGCGCTTATTCCAACTCGTTCAATTCGTTAAATGTTGGCATATTTTTCTGGAGTTGAATTCTAAACGACTGTATCAAAGTTCAGCAAAAGGAAAAGAAAATCGTTGTCGTTGTGTTCACGTCCTCGACAAAACGTGAAATTAGGCAGTTTCACGTTGTAGTCGTGCAGCGACGGTAAAGAAATGTACTAAAAAGCGTGATGCACGGGCAAACTTGTTGTTTTGCCAATCTAAACTTTTGGGTTTTTGCCGTTCTCGTTGTCGTCACCGTCGTCGTTGCTTAAGCTCCCTAATGTTATATCATCACGTACGACAGAAAAACAATGCGAAAGTTGAAATAACGACATATCTACGATTCCATTAAAATAAGCTTGAGTGCAGCTATAGTTACAGCATTAAGCGGAAAAGGGCAATGTCACGAGTTTATTGTTGTTTGAGGTCAATTCTGTGTTGAAGTAATTTCTTAGTGGCTGTACCCAGGGTTGTAACTAAGATTTCAAGTTGCAGAGTCAACACAACGGGGAACCAAACAGCTAGGGATTTCTTTTGGCTCTATTTATCTTCTAATTTCAAACGAAAGTAGCCGGGACCACATTCATAGTACCCGGGGAGAATCCCCGGCCCTCGGCTCTTAATGACGGCGTTGTCAGTACCCATGTACAAAATGCTCCGTTAGAGATGTGAAGAAGATACAGTCGTCTGGCGATAATTCGAACTTTCGAGGGAAATAGAAAAAAGTTCGAGTCATCGGGAGTTCGAGTTATCGAGGGTAAAATTATATAGAAAACGATCGGAAGGGAAATGAAAATTGCTTCGAGTTAGCGGGAGGTTCGAGGTTTAGAGAGTTGGAGTTACCGGGAGTCGACTGTATCAAACAAATTTCATCAGGGCGCACTAATTAGTTTCAACCCATGCCCATCCTTGTCACCTGTTGAAACAGACGACAGGAAACAGTTTCAATGCCTAAATATAAGGGAGTTTTAGCAACGACGACGGCGACGGCAACGAGAACGTCATAACAGCGATAGGATTATTAAGCAAAACAACAAGTTTGCACGCGCATCACGCTTTTTTGTACATTTCTTTGTTAATACTGCACAACTACGACGTGAAAATGCCTAATTTCACGTTTTATGGAGGACGTAAACAAGCGACGACGAAATTTCTTTCTCTTTCTAAACTTGAGTGCGGTCCCCAAGAAATCAAGTCTAGGGAAATTTGCCTACATTAGACATTTTCAGCGAATTGGAATGAACGCGACAATGTTTGAAAAACGCTTATTCATTTTAAAAGGGATGTATTCGCTGCCGTCACCGTCATCAATGCCAAAACTCCCTGCAGTCTTAAATAACAAAACCTGAACCATCATTTCTGAAATTCAATTGATGCGAAGACAAGTTTTGGCTTCTTAAAAAGATAACAACTAGCGTGACATGGCCGCTTTATGTTCAAATACAGAGCAGTATAGTCATTCCTGAATAATGTGAGAATAATGGTATCCATGGTAACTATTATCTCTTTCCCGCAACACTCCTTGGTCTGGATCGCGCGGAGCTGTTCCTTCGTCCTGTCTGCTGACCACCTTCCAGCAAGTTCAAACCGCGTTCTGCCGCCATAAGTAAGTCCTGCGGAGTTATCAATGACAAGTTTTCTATTGATTGGTTCTCATTGTACATAATTTGTTGTCGTTGAAGCAAGAGGGCCGTTATTAGAGACCTAATCTCGTACCCAGATCTCTTGTTGACGAAGCCGGATCTACGTCGGCAACAGATCTGGGCACCAGGGGAATAAGAGACCTTAAGTAGTGCGCGCGCGTGAACCCGCAGCGTCATTTTGGCGGGAAAACGCGATAGCCGTCGCCATTTGCTTGATACGAGTTTTAGCGGCCGTTTTAGCGAAAATGTCGTAGTGACGGAAACAGAAGTTTTATCATTTTGCGATCGGAAGAGGGCTTGACATCCTTCAATAAAAATAATCGTGCTAGCTTTTCTGGTATTTGAGAAAAAGCGAAAAAAAAAATTAAGTCAAACCTCGTCCTTGTCCATGAAGCTACAGGTTTCTATTCTTGGTTTGAGAACTTACAAAAGTAACAAACGACGAAAGACAAAGAAAACACTCAGGAAAGTACAGTTTTACCTCGTGCTCATCATCCGAGAACTTTGTCTTGGCTTCCGAGAGCAAGCTAGTGATGTTTTTGTTAAGTTTCATTTCCTCTTTGATGTCCTCTAGTAAAAGGAAACAAAAAGTATTAGTACTTGTGCTGTGAGTGATAAATATAGGTAATCTACTGACTGAGTGGAGAACAGTTCTGTCTGTAATTATTATAGGAGTAGTTAAACAAAATCGGGGGAATCCCATTTGTTTAATCGCGTATATGACTGCAGATAAAACTGGACGACACGAAGTACTGTTATCCAATCAGTCATAGCTAAAACAAAATTTGAGACAATAATTTATGAGGATTTAAACTTTCCAACTTTCAAAAAGTCAACAGTGCAAAATGTGTTCCTTACTACTGGGAAATGAAGACAGTCTGTGGCTTACGATGTCAACTGAGGCAACAAACCTTTCCCCAATTTAATTTACAAGGAAATTAAAAACACAGTACACAAGTATATTAACTTACCGTAGTCTACAAGCTCAGAGAAGAGGATGCAAATGTTTTCAACAACTTCGTCGTTTTCTTTGATGTTACCGGTACTTAACAATAAGAAAGAAGTGAGGCGGTTAGATAGATATTCAGGAGGCAAAAATTGTAAATAACTGCGTTTTCTGAAGCTACGGCATTCCCGTTAACCAAAGCATCAATTTCGCTACTGTCAAGAAGCTCTTCTGTAGCTTCAGTTGGAATTGGCGAGTTTTAGCGCGTTATCTAACCTGCAAAAGGAGCCCTCTCTTCTCGCTCCTCATCACTAGCAACGCTTAGCTTGCAAAACAACCGTCTCTCATCGTCCCTGTCGAAACGCTGGCGAAAAGTCCCTAGCAGCGAGGAGCGATTGAGGAGAGACGGCTGTTTTCGCAGGCTACGAGTAATCCTATTTCGGAAAAGAACACGTTGTAACGAAGACAGCTGCAATAAAGTCCTTTATTGAAGGATGCACTATATGAGCATAAAACAACTCAACAGACAGAGAGCATTGACTTACTTGTAGGCAGTGATGATGCTCTCTACTCCCTCGGCCTTGAGTAGCTGGTAAGCGCACACCTCTGAAGAAGTAAAAGGAAATTTGTAAACAAAGTAAAGCATCATCTCAACGGAACTTTTAAAATAACAAGAATTTCGAGCTGCGGTCAGTAATTTAGAGGACAGGGTCTAAAACTCTTCCTATGATAATAATTAATTAATCCTCACCTCGAGCCTCTACAATACTTGCCAAGGCCATGCAAGCATTCTTTATGACCTTTGCCTCCTATTAAAGCATAGAAAACGACGCGTTAGTAGAAAATAGCTTTCTCGACGCAAAACCCAGAAACCAGAGACCCGAAAACTTACAAATCCAGAGAACAAGAGATTCGGAGACCTAGGGCGCTTTCCAATCAACAAAAATTCCGGTTTGAAATTTCGGAAATTTCACGTGCCCAAGCCCAATGGAACGGTACATTCCGGTTGCACAGACCCGTCCCAAGCCACCGCACGTGTGGTTATTGTTCTTATAAGCAGGATACAAAAGGGTGGTACTGGGGACAACAATTTTGTCAAATGGAAAGGGACATTTCGGTCCCACCAGACCGGTCAAAGTGGACCACCTTGGGCGCCGGCCCCCACCGGGGATTGGCGTTTTTCTTCCCCTCTCAGTCCTTCCCTTTTTAGCGCCCGCTAAGCAGGCTTGAGAGGCCCATGAACCCGGAGACCTGGGGATCCAGTGACCAAAAGACCCAGAAGTTGAAATCAGGAATAAAACCAAAAGATCAAACAACCCTGTCCACCGAAAAGGGGCGTCACTGGTGCATTTGGTGCCGCCAAAGCCCTTCAAGGAATATTTTATAAGCAATGTATACAAGCATGATTATTTGGCACAGTAAATTTAGGCTGTGTTTACTGACCTTTTTGTGCATTTTGATGGCATCGACGAGTAGATCTATAACACTGAGATCCTCCATCGGTTCCAGATTGTCCTCTGAAAAGAAGAGGCCAGGATATGAGTAAACTAGTTGAGTCCAGTTTCTAGTTCGTCATGATCACTGAGTAAAAGCACTGGACACGCATTTCTACAGGGTCGATCTCGAACACGAATTTCAGCGACACAACAAAACGCGGTAAGCGGTTCTTCGATGTTAAACGCAGATACCAACAATGTGTCGCTTTTTTGGTGTAGCGATAACAGATTTAAAATTCTATCCACGTAATTCATATTCTATTAATTTCTACCAACTTCTAATAATAATTGATGCATTTTGCCATTTCCTCTCTGTAATTTACTACGTTATTTTATACATGTAGCAAGATTATCGATTAATTGCCTCCTAGGAATGTGGCTCGGGCTCTTAGCTTTTTATTTTAGGAGCCCGAAGGGTTCCCAAAAAAATTTCTTAGGCAGCAGCCTTGAGTGTGTATTATCAATGTGTTTGTTCTGTAAAATCTACCATTAATCCAAGTGTGTAAATTAAAAAAGTTAAGTTAATTTTAGTTGTCTCACAGTGGGAAATAAGTAAGAAGTGCATTTATGTTTGTGGTTTTCAAGCAGTATTTAGTCACTTTTGGTCACCCAACTAGTTTAGCTTTATAGTCACTTTGACAGACCAGCTACTCTAAGTATTTTTAATTTGAGTATTATATCAAGTTATTGACAACTCTGGAAACAAAAAAGGTTATTGTTGCTGCTAAACTTTCAAATTTCACCACCGTCCTGCCGGTATTTGTGAATATTTTACTTCAGGTTAAGTTAGACCGTCTTACCTTCCATAGAAAGAGACCACAGGGCTGAACAGGCTGCCTCCACCAGCTCCACATCTGAGTTGTGTCTTCCCATAGCAAGACAGATGTCTTCCAGTCCACGCTCTTCTGTCACAATCTTACAGTTTGCCTCTAGACAAGGGAATCAGTTCAGCCGTCAAGATCAGTGCAGAACTGCGGCGGGATGAACCATACTTCAAGGGGGGTGCCCAATAGGTTTTTTCGGTAACCGGGATTTCCTTTACTGATTTGAAGCCCGGGATGCGGGATTTGAAAGCAAAATCGGGGCAAGATTCGGGATTGAAAGCATGCTTGAGAGGTGGGATGCCAAAAATAACCCTAGGGATTACGGGATTGCACGAAATTTTAGGCTGGGATTTAGGGATTGAAGAACCGTATTGGGAACCCTCGTGAAGGTTTTTTGGAACAGAGAATATCGGGATAAAGTCAATAGATAAGCATTATTATTATTGTTATTATTTTGCTCTTTCACTAATTGGAAGCTTGATAAGAGGATGTAAAATTTTTTTTGTATTTTGTTTCAACACAAGGTGCCTTTTGACTTGGATAACAAGACCCGCTTTTAATACGAACACTCTATGGTCCCCACCTGTGGCTGTATTAACACCGAATTCGACTGCTCATCTCTTTGACGTTCACTGTACGACTAAGACGTATACCTTCTTTATTCGACCTTTAATGGAGAGCGTGAACACATCAAGACAAATTTACGTTTATCTTTATTGACTTAGATACAGTTCTTAAGACTCTGAATTCAACTCCAGAAAAATTCTCTAACATTTGAAGAATTGACCGATGCTAAATAAACGCGATTAAGGTTGAAAGAACGCAAATTTATCTTTTTGTTGAGATTTTTGCGGCCGTCGTCGTTGTGGCTACTTAAGCTCCCTCTATTATCTTTACGGACCTCAACGTTTCTAACGGAGACATACCAGAAACAGCCAGACTCCACAACGCACCGCAGCAATGTGATGCAATGACTTTGTTATCTGGAAACGCTCGTAACGCTGCTAACAAGTCTTGAACTCCACCAAAGCGACCGATTATGTCCCCAGCGGCCTCTAAAATAACGAAGAGTCAGTCAGTGGGGCTACAATTTTAATACAAGTTCAATTAAATACCTAAGATTGCCAACGTAAGCAAGTAATACTAAGCGATGAAATCGAACGTTTCGGGCTCATCAGGATACCATTTTCAAATATATCAACAAACCTTTGTTTATGGATTTCCAACATGCTGTACCTAACATTTGTTATCAGAAGAACGCTTACTTTCCTTCAAAATTCAACTATATTTAAACCCTGAAGTGATCTCTGTCCTCCTGGAAGCTGTAAGAAAAGTTCCTTTTGAGTAATCGGTGCGTAGACAAAATACCTTGGTTTGGACAGAGAGTTCTTTTCAGTAACATACGTGAGTAACGCTAAATCAGTTGCTTTCACTTCGTTTAGTGGTCACATTCATATTCTAGATTTAGACTGAAAACTAAACAGCCCGTGTTTTCGAGTGTTTCAAGAATTCACGAGCAATCAAACTAAAGATCTGGAGCAAGGGTGTCAACATGCAGAGGCTCTCACGCTTCTCACGAGAATCTCACTTCGGCGCTTCGCGCCTGAAAAACAAAAGATTTTGAATTACAGTGTATTGTAAATTAAAAATTTACGATCAGCGCCAGTATACTCACCATCAGCTGATAATGCCATTAATAACTGACAACCACAGGCCTGTAGTTCTGAAGAGGCTGCATGTGACTGTTGAGGAACAGAAGAGACTGTCTTTTAAAACAATCATCTTATTCTAAGGTGAATACATTGTTCGTTACTATGACTACATCATTCACTCCAGGATCTACAGAGTGAAAGAGCTGTCTAACTTGTACAGTTCATAGTAAAACAAAGTGAGCAAAGAACGGTAGCTGGGGTCCATTTTAGTAAGATGCAGTTCTTTAAGACGAGTCCACTAATTGACAACTTGAATAAACATATGGAAGTGCGGTACCATTAGTTCTGTTTTCGAAAAAAAGTCTAAAGAACCCTGATGAAAACGTTGTATACGTACTTTCATGGCAGCTAGAACTTCGCGGATTATCTCCTCTGTAAACATGACATCGTTGTCATCAGCTAAGGGGGAGGGAACAAAGTCGAAAAACAAGTTAAAAAAGAAACATCAAAAGCATCTTAAATGCTTAAAAATAGCTCTACCTCCAGCTTATATAATCTGATATGATTACCGGTGATGCTAGAGAAAAGAACCGTAATTAAGTGAATCTCTTTGAAACAAAATTTCTAGTGATAATGCTGTTCTCTTCACACTCTTCCAGCTTCTTGTGTCCCAATATTGCTCTCTTACCATAGTTAGTAGAGAAGACTGGTTATGAAAGCCGGCAAACATCAAAGATAAAAAGAACGCAGTTTATGTTGGGGCATGTTTTTTTGTTCACAAATTGTGACTGAATAAATTAATAAATTCAAAAAAACTGATGTGCTTGCTTAAACCGCATAAAAAGGAAAATTAATTAAGTATAACTATAAGCAATACCAGACTAAATAATAATAATAATAATAATAATAATAATAATAATAATAATAATCAAAACCCTCTAAACTGTCATTCAGACAGTCACACATTCTGAATGCTCCATACCCTTAACATAACATAACATATTAAAAACGTATTTATTCAAGATGAGGAAAATAAAAGTTATTAAAAAATCTTGAAAAGGAAAACTAGAGTTTGACGTTATGACGTTTCCCTAAATAAAAAGATAAAACAGATATAAGCTATAAAATAGGACATTTAAAAACTATTTAAAAATATCTGAAACAGATTTACACAGTACCTTTAGGGAAAAGATTAATGAATATCTTGAGAGCTTGAAGATGAACATCTTTAGAAGGCTCCGGCTTTTTGTTTTCCTTCTTCATCGTCTCTGCAATCTGTAGTTTGTCTTTTTTTCTTAATGTCACATCTAAAACAAAATAAAATAACAGTCAGTTGACATTTTGTTAATAAAGAGGCGCATCAAAAGAATTAACCAGGATGTACTGATAGTTGGCATTCTTGCATAACAACTACCACAGTGCAATCTGGGGGCCAACAAAAAATGGTGGTCAGAATGGATCGTTCTTTGCTCTGTTATTTTCATCCTTCCTTCAGTAACACCTTTGAGTATTTTTATTTCTCTCTTTTACCATTACTTTCTTTCATAAGTTTGAAGTAAATCAAAAAGTGGGCAAAAAGGACGACTTAATTGCTACTCTTCAAAACTATTTTGTAATAGCTCTGACTTTTCTTTAAAAAAAAGTAGACTGAAGCTATCATACGGAAATATTTACCTTGCTTTCTGGTGAGCTGTTCAAGGTACTTAAGTGCTTGAACCTGACGAACAAAGACAAGTTGGATTTGATCAAGAAGTATTCACCATACCTTCTCAACAGGTCATTTGCACGATGGCGGCATTCAGTTTTAGTACTAAGACCACAATCCTTTTCGTTTTCCATTCATATTTAAATTTGGTAATCTCGGTGAGGTTTAAATAACAAAAGCCCTCATTTACACAAGAAAGCAAAACCATGAAGGATTCTGGTCGTGGTAATAAAATGACGTCATCATCCAAATGGCCTTTTTACTACCAAGGGTAAATTAGTAACTTTAAGCGAAAAAAGATTTTTTACCTGACAAGCAACACTGTCTTTGTTTTCCTTCATGTACTCTACACCAAAGGATACAAAGTGGATAAATAGAGTGCAATAATTAAATCTAAAGCAGTTCAATGCAATTAAACGGAGTTATCAAATGAGGGCCAGCGTTCCTATCCGTGGCCAGACCAGCGGCATCAACAGGCCAGCATGCACCAAGATACATCTTTCTTTTATACACATGTTAATCACGTTAATTAGCCCTCTTTGCCTCGATTCCATCAGCAGAAATCAAAAGACCTTTTTCCTTTAAAGGAGACTTTGAGGCCCAGTTATCATGAAGACCAAGAAATAACTAAAATTGCCATAATTCTGGAGGGAAAAAACCTCTATGTTATGTTATTTCTAAGGTTGGTAAAAGAGTTGGTGTCTTAGGGCGCCTTAGAAGGAATATCACTATACATGCAGCTTTCGAGATGTATAATTCATTAATTTTGCCCATTTTTGATTATTGCGATGTTGTTTGGTCCAGCTGCAATAAAGCAGATATGGAAAGTCTTGAATCTTTGCAAAGGCGGGCCTCGAAAATTATAGTTAAATCTAAATGTGGTACAACATCCACCGACTATCTTAAATTTCAGAGTTTAGAAGATCGCCGTAACGCTCATATTTTAGGTTTAGTGAAGAGGTGTTTAAATAATAATGTACCACAGTTTTTAAAGAATTATTTTAAGTTGAATAAGGAAGTTATTTCAAGAGAAACAAGAAGAAGCAATTTTATATACGTTCCTGCAGTAAGAACTGAGACCGCCAAGAAAAGTTTTTATTATAATGGCTCAGTTGTGTATAATAATTATTTAGTAAATAAGAATTAGTTTTAATTGTTATACTGTACTATTATTAACTTATAGTTACTTAGTTTCTTATTATTTATTTTGAACTTTTTTTATTAGTCTTAATTTAGGGCTCCTATTGATAACAGATATACTTTTAAGTATTCTGAAGGGATTACCTAGTTAAATAAAGGTTTACTACTTCTATTCCATGTGCTCTGAACTGCGTTCGCGGATGCTGTTACTAAGCGTTTTGCTCGGTGCTAGTGTCATGTCAGCAGCTGTCCCACTTTCAGTTTCATAAAAAGTTGTGGTGCTTCGTTGGCTTGCACGAAGTAAAGATCAACCGAGTCGGCCTCCTTGTATTTACCAAGATAACTGCCTCAGAGAAGCTCTCATGTCACGGAATAGCCTTCTCGATCATCTTATTTTACTGAAGACACTTTGACTTCCATACTAGGCCTATGCCAAGGCGTTTTCACAAACCAGTCAACTGAGACATTTTAGAGTACTTGTTTCCTCGAAAAGGGAACTTCCGCTCCGCATAAGGGAGCACATCCGAAGTGTAAAATATGAAAATGGCAGGGTACTACCGTTTTCCGGTCAGTGCCTTTTGCTAGGTAGTTTGAGGAAATCATGCGATGGCCTAGATACTGGTCAAAATCAGCCTAAAATAGATTAACTCCGTGAAACGGATTAATACGAATTGCTCGCTCCGGTTTGTAGCAAACTCCTTCTTTTGTCTATTATCCCTGCATTGGATTTTAAAACATACAGTACAAGTAAAAATCTAAAATGCTTACCAAGAACTTTTAAAACACCTTTGTCCTTAGGTACGGGCTTTACAGCTGCGAATAAAAGAAAGGAAAATTGTGTGTGCAGCTGCATTTGTGGCGATATCGAATGCTTGTGCACACTCGCTTGCAACTAGCAGAGGTAACGGCAAGACCCTGTTACATATTTTTCAGCTTTACTGAAGAGAGGCCAAACACTCAACTACCAGCCAAAAACTACAGTCTCAACTAGAAAGTACTGTTATTACTTCTACAGGCTGCTAGTCGACTGTATTGTTCAATGTGAAAGCAAAGCGGTACTGACTACATCAGAGGCTAAGAATTTCAGAATATCTTGAGTCACTTTGTTTGGCTCGTTGCCAAGTTCTAATATGCGAGCAGATTGAGTAGCCAAAAACGCGTCAGTGGAAATCAACCTCAATTCTGACTTAATACTAATGCTCAAAAAAAATTCCTCTCGCACCCCTGTATTACCGAGTCCAGTCAGAATTTAGAAGTCTACGGACACTAAGTCGACACCCCGAGCAGGGTGTTTGCACGGAAGTGGATCACATCCCCTCTATATGTAAAGTATATCACCATTTGTGTAAATCATTTCGTATTCTTACAATTTTTTGCGGGCGACAAGAGGAGCCCGCAATCCTAATCTCCAGGTTGTTATTACGCATGCGTTGTATGTATGTAGCCAGCATTCGGTTGGGCTTCCACTAAGAATGAAGGGAATGCACATAATGCAATTCGATCACGCGCGTTTGGACCTTTGATCACTCGTAATCTAATCACGCGTGTTTTGACCATCTGTCATGTGAAATTTACGCAAAGCACAGCTTTTCAAGCTGCATTGCCTAGTTATTCAACAACCCACAGTCACTTACTTTCCTTTTTGGCTCCTTTGACGCCTTTACTGGGAGATGCTGAACTTCCTTTGGTAGCGGCATTGTTAGGTTTATTATCACCCAGTGCAATACAGCTCTTCACATATGGTAACTCAGCTAATTCTCTGAATGTATAGAAAAGTTCCTATCAGCCTAGTACACGGGCTGGGTTCGCACGAAATAATGTAAATTTTAAAGCACGACGCTGTTAAAAATAGTTTTAAATAGGTCACAAAATCCACAACATAAAACATTCACGTCAAATTCATGTCGACTTTGTATTCCACTGTTCCACACGTCACGTTTGATCAGTTTCAATTTCCATGAATTGCAGAAAAAGTAAATTGTTGAATGATCAACTGGAATCAAGACAAACAAGCACATTAGAGCGGTTTTCATTTGAGTGTCGAAAAGTAATTGGTTTTGCACTTTCTACACGATTCGATTGGCTTAAAAGATTCGCGCCACCTTTTCATCCAATCAGAAGTAAAACCAAAGCCAATTGTGACGCGCTCGCATGCATTTTCCCGCGCTTTGCGTCCGCCACATGTAATTACTTCGAGTTTTGATTGGTTCAATGTATTGTCTGTGTCCTATGTGATTGGCCAGAGTAATTACTTTGGTTTTGGTTTTACGACACTCAAACGAAAACCACTCTATTCAGATTTGGTCATTCTGCACCTTCACGCGCAATACAACACACGGTGAAGTACAGAAAAGATGATTTCCAAAGGACACATCAAGAGAGGTGCACTTCTTCATAAAAGAACTTCTGTGAGTGAAAATCAGAAGCACTCAATAGGGAGCTTAAGCAACAACGACGGCGACAGCTACAAAAACGTCACTTAAAAAGTGAATTCACACCGCTTCAAACTTTGTCGCGCTTATTACATCTCGTTCAATTCGTTAAATGCTGGCATATTTTTCTGGAGTTGAATTCTAAACGACTGTATCTAAGTTCAGGAAAAGAAAAAGAAAATCGTTGTCTTGTGTTCCCGTCCTCAACAAAACGTGAAATTAGGCAGTTTCACGTTGTAGTCGTGCAGCGACGGTAAAGAAATGTACTAAAAAGCGTGATGCACGTGCAAAGTTGTTGTTTTGCCAATCTAAACCTTTGGGTTTTTGCCGTTCTCGTTGCTGTCGCCGTCGTCGTTGCTTAATTTCCCTAACGACTGGTTCCGACGGACAAATTAGAGAACTTTAGGTTCTAAAACGAGGACGACTACGCGAACGAGATTTTCTCAATACTAAGTAGTGCGCAAGCTCCGCCTCGGGAAACATTGGGCGCTTCCCATTCAATCAAAACTTTCGAAAATTTGGAAACAGCGGCAAATGGTACAGAAATTTCCCGGAAAAGTTTCCAGAAATTCCGAAAACTGTTTTATTTCCGAAATGCGAACCATTCAACCGAAAATTCTAGAAATTACGAGAGCAAAGTTGACTGGAAAAAAAAATCCTGGAAAATTTTTTGGACAATTTGGGTATACCTACCCTGGGTGCCAGAGGCTTTTCTAGCGCGGTTTCCGGTTTCTGTCAAGTCTTTATAGTACCAGCGCGAAAAGCCTCTGGAGCAGAGCGCTATTGCTTTGATGGCGCCGATCCAATCGTTAGCACGGTTAAATCAGTTGGTCTAGATTTTGGACAAGACGGCTGATTGGCTACTAACGACCACCTGAGGGACTTTGAATCTAACAGACGCTACAATTGGTTGACAAGAATAGACCAGCGCGTGAAAGAATATTTCGAACTGTGCTGTTTGACATGACGTAATTGTACCTGTGAGAAGAGTTGTGATGGTGGCTTCGGAAAGTTTTGAAAGAGCATTGAAGGAAAAAGCATAATAAATGTACTAGAAGGGTTTGACGGTGTAGACAAGTTAAGCTAAAAGCAAACAAGTGGGGTATTTAATTTTATTCAACGCAATTAAGTTTTTATCACATTCAACTTTTGCATTAATACGATTTAAGATTTAGTAATTTCCTTTTTCAAACGATTACAACACGTTTTGAAATAATTTGTATTGATGGATTGGAGATATATAAACAAAACAAGTATTTTTAGTATAAACAGGGGGTCGATAGGCAACACACGACTTTTACCTCATGCCAAAATGCTGCTTGTTCCAATGAATTTATTTATCTCTGACGGGTAGATTATGTTCTGGAGGGAAGCGTTTTGACTGGGCAAATTTGATTTTTCCTGCTTATTTCATACCGAGAGGTCGTGACACGCATACCGGGTATTGATTTTCTGCGGTTATTGTCTCTGGTCGGCATGATTTGCCCTCTTATGCAAGAGCATTTTCTTTGAACTCTTTTGAAATGTTAAACTCTTCATTGTGGCTAAATAAGGGTTTTAGGTTGTTTGTTTTCTCCAAAGTACTGGATCTGCATAATTATAAGCGATTTTCTTATTGTCCGTGAATGTGACGGTTTCCTGCAATGTTCTGTCACGCTGGGCCCAGCTCGTTAGCGTTTTTAGCAGGATGTTAAATTCTCACGGATAGTGATTTTCAGATCCAGTGATCCAAAATCTCGAAGAATGGATTGCAGCTTAAATTGAAGCTGCATCAACTATGTGATTCGGTCACGACTTCTCTTAAAGCAATGAATTTTAAACTCCAGCTTGTTTTTCTGAGGATAATGGACATTTCTTCACGTGGTCCACATGATCACAGTTGGAGACTTCCAATCTGATTGACGTAATCCGATAAAAAGCTCAAAAGTCAACAGGGAGGGTAAAAAGCACTGCTCCGTGCCAGAGGTTTTTTCTCGCGGCTTCGCCGCTCGTGGCTTCGGCCTACGGCCGAAGATGTGTCGGCCTTCTGCCAACACCGAAAATCCCTGCCGTACGCGAGACACATCTTAGGCCTAGGGCCGCGAGAAAAACCTCTGGTACCCAGGGTAGGGTATACCTCGCAAGGTTGTCCTCTTTTTTGGGAATTTGGGAAATGCTGTTCCTTTCTCTACAGCTGGGAGTTGCCGAAAATTCAAACCAGACGTTTTGGTTGCATGGAAAGTACTAATTGAGATTCTCGAGAAACAAAATTAACTGTTTCCCTCGGGACCAGTCATTAAGTGTTTATTATTACCCTCTGACGTCATAGATACCCGCTCAGAAACTCTTGGCGGGAACAACTCGAGTTTGTTAGATATTTGAGAGCTTTAGATTTGAGGACGAGACGGACTACGAGTACGAGAATTAACTGAAAGTTTTTTTTGCGTATTCTAGAAAAATTTTCAACCTGGAAAGTTTTATTGCGCTATTTTCAGCTGAAAATTAGTGCGGTTATTTTTATTGGAGAAGGTTTAGCCCTTTCCCGGTCGCAAAATGATTAAACTTCTCAAATTTGATAACTTGTCCCGCCACTATTACGATATTCTAACACTCGTAATAGGAATGACGAGGGCTATCACGTTTTCCCGCCAAAATAACGTTGGCTCACGCAAGAGCACTACAGTCTCGTACTTAGCTTGTAGTCGTCCTCGTCTCAGAATCTAAAGCTCTCTGTTATGTGACCTCGAAGTAATCAACGAGAGTGCACTACAGCGCGCACTTTTGGCAAAGATTTAGTTATGAAATAAATTGCAAAATACGCGCACGACATCACAAAGCTTTCTCATCCCATCTTAATAAAAGTTTTATACTCACTTCATTGTGGGGCGTTGTTGAAAGTTTCTTCTTAGCATGAGGCGAATAGTTTGGCACAAATCTTTTGCATATGTCTACGAGAAAAAAAGTGTATAATTCTAAAGTTAGGTAAAATAAACAAGCATGAGTCACTTCAAACGTCTCAGCTTGGAATGAAGTTGGTAAGCTTCCTACGCGGAACTGTTTTCTGAAACTTGCGCCAGCCACTCGTGTTAAATTTTCATACTGTTTCAGTCTACAACAGTACACTACATGTACAGTCAAGTCAGACAAGTCGAAAATTGACAGAAATGCATCAGTTATATTGCCACCGGTTTTAAAGTTTGTTTCGGAAAGAGACATTAATTAATAAGAGAGCACCTTAATTGCAACATTTCTCGTGAAAAAGCTTTTTTTACTGCAAGAATAAGGGTGGGACTAGTATTTCAGCTATCGCAAATAAGTATGACGTACCAAACTATGTAGCCTGCGTAGCAAGCGTTTCCGTGCGGTTTCGGAGTACAACGAGGAACGAAACCGCGCGAAAAATGGCGCGAGTAAAAGAACGGGGAGGGGTGGGGAAGAAAGGTAAGGAAACAGCGTTTCCTTTCAGGCAGATCGGAGAGGTGAGTGATTGCTCAGTGTAAGACGGCGTCCGCGAGTTTTCGTCCTTATCCGAGAAGACTAGCATGTTCAACCATTACAGATTTGAGGCAACGGCAGCACATTCTACTTAGTCATTTGAAAGCCCTGTGTATTGTTCCGGCCGGAAATTAAACTAAGACCCACCGCTCCGCAGTCTGTTACGCATCCAGCTAATGGAGCTAATAACTGCATTTATCAGGGACTGGACTAGCTGACGAGCAAACACAAACCTTTCCAATGTCTTTAAGTACTTCCTCCAGTTCCTGAGGAGAACTCTTGATCTGAAACAACTTGGATGATATCTGCGATTGCTTTAAACGTAAAGAAATAGTGAAAATAACACTTTTGATATAATTATCTTATATAATAAGATGATATACGTCAGGGATTATGTTTCTTAATACCAGAAAGGCTCACTTTTACTAGAGTCAGTTACATCCAAAACAATGAGACTTAAGTTTGTGTCGTAAAAGGATCATTACATTTTTAAACGCAGTTAACTGTAATGTAACTGAAAGCCCGTATGTTTTAGTGCTCAGCGATAGCGGAATACTATCGCACGTTCTGAAAACTCCTCATTGAATCACGAAGGGTATTTTCCGTGCAAATGGGGACGTATTTTCGGCTTTCTCATCTATCCACCTTTGGGCAGAGAAAAGCGATTGCTGGAAATAGGAATGCATTAGCGGGCTAAGAGTATTTCAGTGTGCGTGTATGGCAGTTTTTTCTGCGGGACATCTCCGCTAGTCTCTTCCCAATGAATCCTTTCCCTTTTTAGTCCACTGCCTGTTAACACAGTGTCACTGGTGCCTCAACATCTCTGTTAGAGGTTCATGGCTGCATGGGTTAGGGGGATGGTCAGTCATGGCAGCGGCTAACTGTTTTCTGCAAGGCCTACTTAAAACGGCACGGCTACATGCCGTGTATGTTAAATTCAGTATGAGCGTTCTAGAGAAAGAAATATGCAAAGACATTTTTCGTCTTCTTCAGTTTCTGCTTCGTGATCTATCGTAAGACAAAAATAGGAAAACTGCCATCCAGGCGGTAGTACACAGTGAACCTTACTAAGACTCATAGCCTTCATAGCTGGAGGTTTTGTTTGTCGAGCGCGCAAATGAGCGGCGAAGCCGCGCGGAAAATTGGGCAGGAAACAACAAGAAACCGTTGAGTTTTTTTTTATTGCGGCAGTTTTCGCAGTTTTTCCCCTCTCGCCAAACAAACCGCCAGCTATGTGGGCCATTAAACTCACATCTAAAAATCCACAAGTGGCCAATTCAAGAAGTATACACCCTAATGACCAGACATCGCTCCGTTCATCATATCTTAAGAACGTTAAGAATAATTGTACATTTTAAGGTAGAAATAATATCAACTTTTCAAATGGCCACACAAAAAAATTGCTGAAACTTGACACTACCCAGTGACTACCACATATTCAAAATCCATGTACAAATCAAATAAAAATATTGTCAAAAGTGTGAAAATTGGATAAACCTTTCCATATCTATAAAGAGGCATTTCCAAAATCACTTAGCTTCTTTCAGGAAAAGAAAAAATATTTTACGAATACAACACGTACACATGTTTAACACCTGGACATGAATTATTTATCCATTTGCCCCGACCATTTTGCCAAAAAGCGTTGTTTGAAGATAATCGAGACGTTTTCTGGTCACTAGCTGTCCCCCAAAGAACCAAATCAATTCACTAGCATTACACTGGCTAGTTTCAGGTGCCAGAAAAAAGTTTTCCAAGTCCAAACACGCGCAGAAGGCAAAATGTGGACAAAAAAGTGGCACTATTAACCCCCAGACTTTTATCTTTCGCCCTCTCTTCTCGCATGCTCCTCCTTGTTTTCTTTTGCTTGGCACATTACTACGCTTTGTTTCACGAAAACCTAGTCTGCTACAAAGCCGTTTTTAGAGTCGTCACGCAACGCTCCTCCCCACTAGAGCGTTGCCTGACGACACTAAAAACGGCTGTGTAGCAGACTAACGAAAACCCAGAGGATCGTAAAGTTAAGTATAGGTGATTTTCATTTAAATTTCTGGTCAAAGCTTCATGATTTTTTTGAAATTTTTCTCTGGCCTGATGGACTGAATCGAGCTCATTTGGCTTGGTTTTGAAAGATTCCCTTCCCCCTGCACAAGTTAAGTGTTCAAGTGGTCTACAACCGTTGCAATTGATGACATCACAAGTCACATGGTTTCACATGGCCAGTTGCCGGTAGTTGAGGGTGAATGCGCTAAATGCTTTGTTTGTTGTCCAGTAAAATAAGTCGAAATTGATTGAATAATTACTTCAATAATGTATATGTTATACAAAAAAATTTGCAAATTTTCAAGTAAAGCCAGTCTTAGAAACACAATTTCCTGCAGTGTGTGTTTCAGGCGCTCAGATAGTGGAGCACAGGTGAAAGAAATAGCATTCCTCTACTGCTCTCTCCAGTTTCCCTTCTTTTTTCACTTGCTCTATCATGTTTTCTCAACCGTGCTCCACTATCTGAATACCTGGAAAGTGCTGAAAGTTTTGTAATACTAGTAAATAGCATCCTAGAAGCAGGAAGATGCTTTAATTCACTGTTAATTTACAACTAAAGGATACGGCCTTTCTAAAACCTCTGGTGCCATCCAGTTCATAGTACCTGACAACAAAACAATCAACTTTAAAAAACAATCATGCAATTATCATTTATCAACAGAATTGTTATTAGTGACTGGGTTACAAGGCCAAAGTGTTCACCCCTGAAATAATCATTTTCTTGGTAACTTAGCCCTATAAGCCTCCTTTTTAGATGAGTATGGGGGGGCAAGGCACATGATTGAAAAAGAACGTGAAAACGTGGGCCAGAAATCATGGAATGAAGTGAAGATTATGGCAGCCGTCAAAGGAAGAGTGGGAATGCACTGTGAAGGCCATATTTTCAAAGTAGATATGTATCAGGTATGAGGGGCAGCTCCCCTAAATGCGCAACTGCATACATTATTAGCAGATCTAAAACTTCTAAAAGAAACCCACCTACTGTTGTTCTTGTGCGAGTTCGTGCATCATCCATGATGGTGGAAACACCAAAATCACCTGTTGACAACAAATTACAGTATGATCAAAAATATTTTAATAACTTGGCATTCTTAATCTTGCAAATTTCAAGTTTGTTGGATTCAGAATGGCCGACCTACCTACTGAAATACTGCCATCTTCAGCAAGAAAAATGTTACTTGGTTTGAGATCTCTGTCAAAGTTACAGCAAACACAAAAAGGAAAAATTATAATAAGGAATCATTTCTATCATCCAGTTCCTGAATTCACGAGCAATTACAGAAACGCAGTAATATTCAGTATTTATTGATGCTTTACAGTGAATGTTTTATTCAGACTTACGTAAGTAATCTGTAAATGATAATTAGGCACTTAATTGTCTGAAAAGTATAAACAAAAACATGCATAATTATCTACCTGTGTATCATACTTTTGCTGTGAACAAATGCTAATGCATCAACCATCTGTCCAAACCACTTTTTTAAAACCTGTCAAATAAGGAAAAATATTGTCAATTCAAAGCAATTTCACCCTGACTACATTGTTAATAACTAATTATTGACAATTATTGTCATAACAAAGACCTAAAAAAGTAAGGTAGATGTAAATTGATTCTGTTTTCTGTGACTAACTTGGCAATAATGTTAACAAACCCCACCTATCTGCTAGTTTTAATCAAGAAGTTTGGTGCACTTGCCAATCTTTTTTGAGTCAAAGGCAGGAGATTTCTCTCCTTAGAGTGCAAGGATTCTTCAATGAGAAGCCCAACAGTTCTAAAGAAGATTTTACAGGTTCCCAGTCCCAGTGAATTTCCCCCAAAACTGGGATTCTTCAGGAAGTGTGAAAGTTTCACATCCGGACTCTTCTCTTCTTGCATTAGTTAGAGTTTATTTTATAAAGATATTTACCAAAAACTGTCAGTAAAGGCTGTAAAACCTTAAATTTTTCTACAAGGAGCAAGAAATTTGTCCAAAGGCATGGCCTGGTATGAGATCAGAGTTTTTAACCCTTTAAATCCCAGTAGTGACCAAGATCAATTTTCTCCTGACAATATCCATACACTGTCAAGAGATACGTTATGAGAATAAAAAAAATGATCACCCAAGAGAAAATACCTTGATCTATTATAAAATTCTCTCAACTAATTCTTTAAGGAAATGTATGGAGATCAGTTTGGAGAATTTGTATGTGGATACTGGGGCTTTAAAAGGGTTAATTCATATATGTAGATGTTACCCTAGGGGTGAGGGTAGTCAACAGGTACATCCCCAGAATTATAAGCTCCCTGAGCCTTATACAGGGTTCATGTCAGAGTGTTGGCTCTTATTTGAGGAAATAGGTCTCAGTATTATGAAAATCATAATTCAACATCAATTATAATGGTAAAAAATGTTTCTTACAAGCTCAGGAATGGCTTCGCCTTTTGCTCTTTTCTGCTTTAGAGCCTTATCCAGGTCACCTAAAATGTTGAAAATAATAGAGAATAATTATGAACCCTGTATGACTGAGTCTTACTCGAGACTTTGAGTTAGTCATGAGTTAAGGCAATGACTAGAGCTTGTTCTCACACATGTTGAGTCCATCTCCAAACTCCAAAGTGCCTTTACCCCTCGGCCAAGAATCAACCAACGAAAAGGTTTACAGTCAACTCTTATCCAAGGAACTCAGGCAATCACATTACCCTCCCATTTACATCACTCCTATTATTATTTGTAAAATAAGTAAAAGGGGCTTATTAAACAGTCCTGCAAATTAAAGTTATTAATTAACATTAATAACCAAGATAATAAGCTAAAAAATACATGACAACTTATTTACATAATTTATCATATGAAAAAAACAGATAATTAAATTTAAAATATTAATTTTGTATACAAATTGACTCACCTAGCTTATAATAATCCATCACAATGCACACAAACATGGCACACTCCTAAACATATGAAACTGTAATCAATATTCCACCAGAACCTATTTTAGAACAGTCCCATCATATTTACTAGTATTAATTTTTGTTTAAGTCCAAAGCAAACATTAAACCTCAGGGGGCCATGATAAAATACAGCACCCTAAACCACTTGGCCATCTGCTTCCAAAATGGGTAAAACAACTCAGGCAATCAGTCAGTAAATGCCTCTTAAGTTTCTAATCTGAGATGTTTAACTAGAGTTCTAAGGCACATTAGTCTCTAGTTTCGCCAAACCATATGTTCACAAATCTTAACAGTATATAACTTTACCATGCCATTCCTCACCAATATCTGGAAATTTGGAATGGTTGGGAATTATCTGATCTTCTGGTATTTAACTGACAAAGGAATTAATTAATATAACCAGAACTAGGCCTAATCATAATATTTTGGAGCTTCAAAGCAGACACGAACCTCCTTATCCCAGGTTACAAAAAATTCTTTATATCCACAAATACAACGATGTTTGTCTTGATGCTGAAGTTCTTGTAAAGCGACGGCCTACAAAACAGAATTGATGAAAGTACATGTAACAGATAATAGAGACCATTAGATTTGAGGACGAGAACAACTACGATGACGAGATTTGATTAAAAGTTTTTCTGCATAATGTCAAAAAATAGACACCCCAGGACCCCAGAATGCTTCATTGTACTTATTTTCACCAGAAACATCAGCACTGTTAACTCTGTTGAAGGAGGTTAAGCCCACTCCTGATCACAAAATGATACAATCTCTAACATTTGACAACTTGTTTCCACCAAAGCATGAGCACTACTAATTAGTACAGAGAAAATTTTGCACACATAGTTGTCCTCGTCATCGAATCTAAAGGTCTCTAATATAATTAACACTGCTTTCATTGAATTACTTTATATTATAATTGTACATGTTGTTATTCAGATATTGTTACAGTAATAACAGTAGTGCTCTAGCATAACACCTGGAAGCTTACTTTGTCCTATAATACAGTGCAACAATGTATCTATAAATAATGGCGACATCCTTACGGCTAAATTTTTTTTTCTGGTCAGTCAAAATAAACTGAGATGCACTTTTTAGGGTGCACAAAATATTTAAATTTTCCCTTAACAGGAGGCCCTTAGTATTTCCCAATGGAAGTGGGACCATCCCGCTCTCATGATTGCATGTACCTAGACAACTGTTGCCACCTACTTCATACAATTTTTCATGTAAACTTCTTCTTAACCTTGAAGTTTTCTAGTTTTCTGTCTGAATAAAACCAAACAATCTTTGGTTTATGAATTCCCCTTACCTCTTTGAAAGCTTTATTGGCTTCTCCTTCATCATTACATTCAACCTAAAAATATTAACATTTTAATCATTTTAGTAGAAATGTAGCTGTGGCTAACCATATCTAGGTACTTACATTTAAAAAGTGCTCTCCAACAGCCCAAGGCTCGATAAGATTGAACCTTAATTCTACTCAGAGACAGGCCACTTTAATATTGTGTTGACCAAAAATAACACTGACCAAAACAATCAAGGCCAGGTGTTTCTAGCATCAGTGGATAGTTTAGGACAGTTATTGGTAATTTCTATACATCTCACAACCCTCGCTCGATAATAACCCACACACACTGGAATCTGGATTAGAATAAGGGGTCTGGCTGACTGAGATCACAACAAACCGATGGCCAGAGAATGGGCTATTTGCTAGGAACAGGGACCCTCACTCAGAACTAAAATTAATTTGCCACAGTAAAGGAAATTCATCAGCTGATGAACTAAGCCTGACTAAGACTTTTGTCAAAACAAAAATAGTCCAACAATAAAAACCCAAGTTATTGAGAGAAGCCCGCAAGCAAAGCTCTTTCGGGAGGCTCTGGGGGCAAAAAGAGGAAGCATTGGTGCTTAACCCTTAAAAGCCCCACGATCCACATACATTTCTTTTAAGAATGGTTGAGAGAATTTGGTTTAAGATCAAAGCATTCTACCTTTGGTAATCAATTTAGTAATTCTCATAACTTTCACTCTTGATGATCTACTGATGTTGTTAGGAGAAAATTGATGTTGGTCCCTCTTGGGGCCTAAAGGGTTAAACTTTGTCTCATCAACGTTACTAGGCTTTCAACTTTTATGGCAAGTACACATAGAGAAGTTGGCGAGAAGGCAAGAGGGTGCAAAAAGGGAAAATTTAGAGTAAAAAGATACAGAGAGGGAGGAGAGTAAGGTTTGAAGTGAGTAATACAGTTTTGCAGAAATTATATTTTAACATGCAGCTAATGTGGTTTTACAAGAATAAATTTTGGTGGTCAATCTTGATACAGTAATGAGTATTTTTTTTGTTTTGTTTTCATTTTTTTCAGTGTAGTCTCAGGCCTGCCTCAGGAAGAAATATGGGGAAAATTTGATAACTCAAGATCATCAAGGGGACCAATTTGCGATGCGAAAGTCACACAATGATATATAAATTTAGCCAGGGCTAAAAGGGAAGTTCGACCGGTTAATTTTAATATAAAATTTCAATCAAACAATTAACTTGTAATCCACATATCAGTTAACTTTAGGGCCGGCAGATTCATATAACTTTTGAGGGTAAGGCTAAGTGACTTTAAACAAAAAATAATTTAGAAATTGTTGAGTTCATATTTTAAACTAAAAGGCCTGACCAGAGAATTCACTTAAAGTACATACATATAATATGTAGTAAGCATATTAAAGGCAAAATGGGTCGAAGCTTCTTGCATTTTAAATTCTCAGTTTTTTTAATACATTGCGATCGCGACCATAAATGTTTTGTTTTCTATCTGATGATCTTCTTAGGAACTTTGGATCACAAATTTCAGCTTTTCGAGCGGCTGCCTTAATTATTTACTGTGATCGTTTTGCATTACAGGTTCTGTTAATATGATAACTAAAAGAATGTAAATCTCAAAGCCAATGATAATCGATAAAACCTAATAACACAAGTGTAAAGCTACTTAAACTAAATAAAGCCTGAATGATATTTTGTCCAAGGACTGAAATGTTTTGCAAGCATCAGGGAAAACATCTGTTACTTGTTTTATCAGCTTTGCCTTTGATCATGCAATTTATATTTACATCAGCTTGCTGTTCGAAGTCGCTTCAATTGATGATCATCGATCACGAATTTGTGTTTGCCTAAATTATTTTCTGAAGTAAACGCCGGCATCAAAGGGTTTTGTCATAGAGTTGAATAAAAATGACAGTAAGCGAAATTTTTTCGAAAACGTTACAACTTACAAATCTGGTTGCTAAGAATATTAACTCAACACCAAAACAAACGACCGTGGAATGCAGCCTCTTGACATTCGACGAATGGTTCTCTAACTGAATAGACAGCTGCTCTGAACAGTGGCCGTTGAGCACGGTTCGAAGTTTCTTCTCCACACACACACAAACACACACACACACTGTTAAACTAATAGATGATAAGTACTGTCATTTGCTTCATTTCTCAACAAGCTTTTACATAAAAAAGTCATCAATTAAAAAGTTCAGTGAGCTCACCTTTTTCAGGACATACATTTTCTTGTCCAGCTTGTTTTCGGCTAAAAATACAGAGCCCTGAGCTCCCTTGCCGAGTCGTTGATGGAGCTTAAAAGTAAAGAAATGTGCATATGGTCAAAAAGGCTGCATATCAAGACAAATCATTGCAGAAATTATACCTTATAACCCTCCATGACGGTTTATTACAGCCGTGACTACGTTACTGCAAAATCGCATAAATTATGCTAATTAATCTTCCTTACTTTCACCAACCGCGCGAAAGATCAGCATCTTTATAAATATTTACAAAACAGATTGCCATTCACAGGTTTGTCACGAGGGATCAAAGGCGAGATGTGGGGTATAGAACGGGGAAAGGAAAGGGAACGACTGGGATGGGGGGGAGAATATCACGAGGCTACGTACATTTTCGCGCGCCAGCTCATTAGGCAGTCGAAGGACCCTAAGGTAAGTTCTGCCAAAAGCTTCGTACATGGAAGGACCCCTAACCAGGCCGAGGGCCGGCCGAGGGGATTGCATCCCTGGAGACCCAGGGGCAGTCAGTCGGGTCGGGAAAAGGCGGGACGAGCTAAGGAGCCGGCTCCTTCGCCCGTGCTTGAGGATGAGGGGATAGTCACTGGAAGCTTTTTAGCGGAAACACAACATGTCGCACTGACTGGACCTAAATTTTTAAAGAAAAAATTAAAACAAAATTTAAACTGCAATTTGACTACTTCTAACACTAACAAGAAACAGGGTTGCAGTCCCGTTACAATTTGAATAGGTCTTAATAGTACCTACCCACAAAAAGTTTTAAAAAAAACTAGTCAAGGCGGGTAGGTATGATTTAGTTAGGCTCGGATTTCAAATAAGCAGCAGTAAAAGATTACAATAAATAGTAAATTATAATAATAGCAGCAATAAAAAATTACAAATAAAAACAGCAAAACAAAATGACTGCACAGAGAAGAAAGAGAAAGAAAGAGATTTCACTATACTGGTCGTAGTTACAGGTGCTACAGTTTTACAAGTTTTTAATGAACTCAAGAATCAGAAGATGGTGTAAAGTACAAATACTCCTGTTTAAATATTAATATTAAAGAATCTAATAAGTGTTTCATGTATTTGTTTGTTAAATAAGTTTCTGCTGACAGACTTTTTAACATTTTCAGGTAATATTTTCATACTCCAAATTGGAGTACAGGGTCATGACATGGTTTTGAAAATAGTTTTGCCTTGCGGCCAGAAAGCGTCTTCAAGGGTGCATGTTTATTGACCAGTCTATTACATTTATTGTAAAACATCGAGAACATTTTACCTATGTCTTGATGGGTATCTAAAGTAATAATGTCCTAATTTATTTGAGTTAGTTCATTATTTATTAAAATTTTCATGCAGGTGAAAAATTAGAATAGTCCCGCTCTTTTAATAGGTAAAGCAGATAAAACTCGACCAGACGGGTGACGTGAAATACAAAACTGTGAAAAATCCCCTTCCACCTTCATTTTCAGACCAAACTGAGTTTTTATCTCAAGGTCGACAAGGTCAACATTGGCCAACATTCCCTGACATTCAGTTCTGAAAGTCTGGAATTTGGCACTGGTACCAGTCTCCGCGCTATCTCGGGGGGAAGTGCACGTATCATCTCAAGGATGCCGAAGTATGGAGGTCCGTGTTTTGTTCGAGGTAATTAACCGTTTTATACACTACTTACGGAAATTTTTCAAGGTTTGCATGATTTATAGAGCTGTAATTGGCCATTTGTCACTAAGGAAATCTTTGCAGCACAATATAAGGCCATTTTCTGAGGAACTGAATGTAGTCTTCCGCTAATACGTCAGTCGAGATCAAACATGCATGATCAAATCACTGTCAAAAATGTCGCAGCTCATTCAAATAACTTATTTATGTATTCACTCCAAGGGAATTCTTGACAAATCCACAGTTGAACATGGGAAAAAAGATTGGAAACGCCGGCATTTCGTGTTCAAACACATATTGGCAAGTAACATCAGAAGTCTTGAATTTTACCCGGCTGCAACAAAGAATTGGCGAAAATCCGAACCCAAAGGCGTTCTGGCGCTTTACCCCGGCTATGAAGTCCTAAAAGTTCATGAACCAAGACGCAATTTTGTCTTTGAAATCAAAACAGTTGATCACACTTACCGCTTAGCAGCACATTCAGAAGATGAACTCAATCAATGGATTCTTATTTTGGAAAGGGAAAGCATTAGTAAGTATTTCCTAGCATGCTGACACAGCTGTAACGTTAAATATTGATAATCTTAAGCTAAAAGCCTATTTTTATGACTTTATTTTGAAGTGAACATTCTACAGGAGTGGCAATACTGGTCCACAATGCACGATGATGCCATTTTACAACAACTACCAGAATGCTTCAGTTTATTGTTTTCTTGTGCAAAGTAAGGCTATTGTTTTGTAAACCTCAGTGGGAATGACAAATTTGAATAAGAAAGCAAAAATGAAATGAATTCTGGTACCTTATTATAGGAAATTAACGCTCCATGAAATTAACGTGAATTGTTACAATTTCGCATTAATTTAAGTCGCATTAATTTTGTTGAGCGTTAATTTCCACGACGTTAATGAAGTGCAGTGTTAATTCCACGCTCTTAATTTCCAATATTTTAACCCCAATTTTGGAACCTGTTGAGACATTCTTGACACCTAAAAAACATTAACTACAAGCTTTCTTTCTTTCCATTTATCCTTTATTTTTCATCTTTCACAAAAGCTGAGGCGAAGGTTTACAATGTTTCTTCAATATCTTCTCCTTTGATTTCAGCCAAGATAGATTTCAAAATGTCAGCACCAACTCTGTCTTAATTGTGTTAATTTCCTTTATTATGAAATTCTACCTCCTCTCTCGTGTTAATTTTCTTTATTTGAAAGTCGTTTTCTATTAAATTCGCATTAATTTAAGTCGCGTTAATTTCCAATACCTTAATTTCGTGGAGCATTAATATGTAATTATGTAATATTAAAGGTAGTTGTAGTCAAATTTCGACATCGTGAAAATGGCCTATTATTTTTCTTTATCATATTTATAAAATAAAGCCAAACATAGCATACCAAGGGCTTGATGGCTGCCTAATAAAGATGACAACAATAGAACTCTCCAAGGGATGACCAAAAGGTGGCCACAACCACTGGCTGAAGGTAGCTGCAGAATAGAGGCTTCTAACAACACTGTTGACACAGGAATAAATGTATTGTTTAGAAAAAAATCTAGTGGAAAATTTCTTGGAGGATTTTGTTTTAAGGAGATATTTTGCCTTACATTTTAGATAATAATGATCATGTTAAATTTTTATTAGCATGGAGAAACTGTTTTCATAACGCATAATGCTAACTTGGAAATTCAATAGTTTTCTCCATTTCCTTGTGTACAAAAATATGCCAAAGAGTTTTGGTAACCTTTTCTGAGGAGTGCCTCCTCTTTCTCATTTACATATTGCTTATTGTCAACAACCACATTTGCAATTCTCTTTGTTTGCAGTCGTGAAAACCAGCCATTTCATCATTAATCCTGTTCATCAAAAAAATAATTTGCCCTTTTGGTCTAGTACATGTTAGCTATAGCTTGCACAATGGATAAGCTGTAAAAATGACCTTCTTTGCACCGTGATTCTCTGTATTAATATGAAAGCATCCTTAGTTATTCAATCATTCATCCATCCTCTCTTCTTGGCAAGACCTTATTCGAGATATCAAATGCAGTTTTTCAATCAAAGAACTTAACTACTAGCCTGAATTTCATCTGATTCATCTTTAACGTTCAAACTATCAACTGCATATATGAAAAACCAACTCCTACTGACTCTCCGCAATGCTTCTTCATTCACAGTTCAATTTAGCTATTCAGTTTCAAAGACAATGGCAATTTTGCTGTTAACGATAATGATTATCGAAATGTTTGAACTCTACGCAAGCATGCAAGGGATGCGATCCGCTGGATATCAAGCGACAACCCCACTAAAATTTCTCATAATTATGTAAATGTTTAGACAATCAACCAATCAAAATCACTACCCGGTTTTCAGGTAGTGACGTCACTGCTGAGAGGAGGGAACAACTCGAAGTAATTCGATGAAATTCAGGCTACTTAACTACAGTTATAACTTCTTGCAATAATGGCAAACTTTCATGAGGGGCCACCAAAATCTTGGTATTTTGGGTGGACATCTTGTAAATAGGGGAATCCAAAATTAAGTGAGTT